AAAAATGTTTACTATGTAGGCCACTCGCTCATCACTACACAATAGCAACTATTGTGACTCATAACATCAATTCTGCTGACCCAAAGGAGTAGTAAGAAATGGAAAGTCCCCACTCTTCTAGATATTATCAACCCCAAATAGGCTGGAATAAGTCTATGGTTTATACTTTCTTGTGTTGAAATATAGTACTACAGTCTGTTTGCTGCTAGTAGTTTGCGGGAAAACTGACTGGTTGATCTCTGCAGGCTGTACTCTTTGTTTTCAGCTACTAAACTACAACAGAAGACAGTATATCAAGCATGCCCCTAATGTTCTCCACTAATACAAGTATTATAGTTGCCACAGGCATCTTACTCAATTATCAGTGGAACTGAAGGTGATTCATGTGACTGAATAAGAAGAGAGGAAGGTTATGACATAATCTGTCTTCTGAAAGGCGGCTGACTTGTTGAAAAAGCTTACAAATCACCACTCCGACTGCCAGTTTTCTTTTCCCAGCTCCTCCTCACTGAACAGCCCAGTATGAGATCTGTGGCATTAGTGACAGATTTCTGTGTAACTGCTTGCTGATAAATTTCAGTCGTGGTATCTTTTGTTTTAAATTGAGTTGTGTTGGAAACAGTACACAAGAACATAAATTGGCTTGCATTCAATTTTGTTATCTTGTATTTGTGCTTGCTTTAAGGGGCTTACTTGTACAGCCTATCAAGATTCAGCTAGAAGTTCTGTTACAGAAGCTTCTGAACAGAACATCTCTACAGAAGCTCTCTACAATGGTGGTGGTTTGTTCTGACAATAAACTACATTCTGAATTGTTTCCTATTAAATAAAATGAAGAAAAACATAACGCTCCTGCTTACTAGGCTCTGAGAAGGCTGGTGAAAATTAAGATAGTGAACTATGTCACTTAAAACGTTTCTTCCCTTTCTTGCCATGCCCTTTTATATTCTTGCTGATTATCCCCATTTTAAGTTAAAGCTGTTGAGTCATACTCTAAAGTCTCCTTTTTTGTGTCATTTATTCTGGAGGAATATTTAAGCCTTTTTCTTGGAAAAGGGCTCTGTAACAACTGGATCATGTAAGTGATACTTCAGGAAGTTTCCAGCAGCTACCAGTACTAAGTCCCGGTTGGAGTAAAGAGCACATTCCAGAGAAGAGATTTGGAAACTAAAGATGAAGAAGCTGAAGCAGGTGATGGAATGCAAAGCCTTTTTCCTTTCTTCCCCCCTCTGCCCCCCCAACACACTCTTAATTTTTCTAGAACAGGGATAAACAGTTGATTTGGAACTCTTTTCAGGAAACGTTTTATGTTAGTATCTGATGGGCATTAAACTATATCCAAAATCTCTATGGAGTCTATAATACAGGTGCTTCAAGAAATTGCTTTGCAGCTCCCTTAGGCAAAATGTTTATGATATACACTTGACTTTTCATCTGCAGTGGTACTGTCATCAGCATAATTTCAACCATCTTGCCTCAGCATATCTCTCTTTCTACTTTGTTGTCATGTATTCTCATAAACTTTTTTATATGTTTTATGCTATTGCACTCATTCTTTCATTATAAGAAATATAATCAATATATTTATCCTATAATTTGTGGAGCCTAGGTAATGATTTTTGGTCTTTAAGGCTACATCTGCTGAAATAACATCTCAGTGGAAAATCTTGGGGATTCAGCCTTCTGGTCATGCGGTTACACAGGTCTAGTGTTTATTATTTGTGAGCCCTTACACCAACTCAAGTTGTCTATAGTCTTACTGCTTTAGTGTTACAGGTCCTATATTCAGTTGTTGCTGATATATGTGATATCTAACTATACTTGCTCAGTTTCCTCTCAGTACTGACTTTCACAACTGCAACAGAATGCACTCCAACCATCCACAGATGGCCTTGGTTCATATTACATTATTTTATCTTGTCTTTATGTATGCCACAAAGATTTCCCAAGTCTTAAACAACTGCTGTGTGTCAATCAGCTGCTTTTATTTAGCAGCTCATTTTATGCCTACTCTACTTCCCTGTTCTTATCTGAGCACTCTCTAGCTGACCTGCCGGCAGGGTTGATTCTCTTTTTCTTCCCCCTTTTATGTTCACATGGGTGTGATTCATTAAGTTTTACGTGGGCATTGAGTATTGGACTTCCAGCAGAGAATATTTCACACTCAGTGCAGCAGACATCATCAGAGGCTGTACATTTGGTAAATGTGAGTGTAGTAAAATACCTTATGTGTGATTTGATGTTGACCTATTTCTTAATTACTGATTATAAAAAATGTTGAATTCTGTTTTGTATTCATGGCATTGTTTATGTAAAAGTGTGTTGGCAGTAATTTAACTCCCTGTGCCTGTAGGCCAGGGGGAGTGGTTACTGAAATGGTTACAGGTATATTTCTTATATCTAGCCTAAAAAAATAGCAAATAATGGCCGGAGAAAGGATACAAAATCTACTTCAGTATGTTTTGTCACTAAGAAAATCTTTTCCTGCCTAGCAGTGTGTACTTGCTACTTGTATGGTCTAGGTGCAGGAAAGTGAGATGGGCTGGAGCACTTTTCCTCTGAAGACAGGCAGAGAGAATTGGGTTTGGTTGTTCATCCTGGAGAAAAGAAGGCTACGGCAAGACCTTAGAGCAGCCCCCAGTGCCTAAAGGGGCCAACAAGAAATTTGAAGAGGGGCTTTTTACAAGGTCCTGTAGTGACAGGACAAGAGGGAATGAGTTTAACCTGACAGAGGGGAGATTTAGATTAGATACTAGGAAATAATTCTTCCCTGTGAGGGTGGTGAGGCGCTGGCACAGGTTACCCAGAGAAGTTGTGGATGCCCCATCCCTGGAAGTGTTCAAGCCAAGCTGGATGGGGCTTGGAGCAACCTGGTCTGGTAGAAGGTGTTCCTGCCCATGGCAGGGAGTTTGGAACTGGATGAGCTTTAAGGTCTCTTCCAACCCAAACCATTCTATTATTCTATAATATTATTCAGACAGTGAATGCTGATAAGTGAGATTCTGCACATTCTGTTCTTCAGTGTTCTTGTTCACCCTCTAAACCAGGGATTAAGGACCAAGCTTAGTGAATTTATGGATGATTCTAGTTAGGGACTTTGCAGCCATGCTAAAAGACATGATTAAGGATAAGAGCTTGAGGCATAGGAAAGCAATATAAATAATAGGATGCAGTTCAGTATAGACTAGTGTAAGGTTATTCAAGCAGAAACAGTGACTAAACACAGGATGAAGAACAAGATGCTAGCTAAATAGCATTAAAGAGGATTAAAAAAGTATCTGGAAGTTATGGGTCCTAAGCTGAATATACATCAGTGTTAGCGTATGGCTAATATGAAAAGGAATATGGCCCAGGGGTCTGTGAAAAGGTTTTCTCCACTCTAGCTATTTTCAGCTGGAGTCCTGTCTCTCCTCTTAGGCACTTAATTTCAGAAGAAGTTAAGGAACAACTGGTGAAGAGGAACCAAAAAAAAGCAACAAAATAGATCTTGGAAAATTATCCTGTGAGGAAAAGACAGAAAAACTTGTGGGTTTTTTTAGTCCAAAGAGAGGGACCTGCTAATTGGAGATCTACAGATGGTCTTCAAATAGGTAAAAATTTTCTGAAGTGACAGGGAGGACTCTTTTTTTTTTTTTTTACATGGTGATGTGATAATAACCAGTGGGTTGACGTTGAAGAGGTAATGATTCAGGTTAGACTCTAAAAAAATTGTTTTAATGATTCTAAGTAGATTACCTGTGGGGGCTGTGCAGTACATTTCTGGAGGTTTTTAGGAGTAGGAATATAAAAATGTTGGAAATAGTTATTGGTCTAGGATGGAGTAATGAACCAGATGATCTCTTCAGTCACATCTCAGTCCTATTTGTTGGTGTCTCTGTGATTCTCTCAATTCTTTCAAAAAATATCAGAGACAAGGGTGTGCAGGTCCTCTTACCTCATGAAGGTACCATACTTACATCTAGTTCAGCACTTCATGGCTTGGAAAGCGTAATTTTCATTGGGTAAATATTTGATTTCTTGATTTGCAGTAGTTAGCACCACGTTTATTTTCATCATCTGTTTTACATTTGGGCCTGTAGACCTCAGTGTAAATCAAGAAGAAACCTATTGACAAATCTTCAGTTGAAAATGAAAGGAGAGCTAGGGAGGAGGATTGTAATTATATTGATGCCATTGTACAAGCAACTACAAGTGAGCAGTCATCTGCAGACTAGTGCAGTTGAAGGGCACTCAGTGAAGCTGCATTCTTCTGTTAGCTGTTTCAGTGGAACCGGGAAATTAACCAGTAAGGGTTCATGTTATTTTTGAAGTTCTAAGCAAACAGCTCCATTCCCACAGTTACACAATGTTTTAGTAGGTTAGAAGCAATGGGACTCTTCTAAAATCTTTAAAATTAATCTGTATATATATTTTTTTACAGTGTTTTTTCTCTCTGGAGGATTAAAATTCGTAGGAAATGGGACATTTTGGTTAGGAACAAGTGTGTTCTAGAAGGTCGTGCTCCTTAGAGCCATTTAGAAATCCTTAAGTGATTATCTATCTCTAGTATATAGTAGTTGCTGAGAAGAATTTCATAATTTCAGTAATTTGTTAATTGCTATCAACAAATGTATGCTTTCAGTAATTTCTAGGGATAGTATAATCCATACCACAATTTTTATCATTTAAAAATAAACACCAAGGTTCCTTGACTTTGGAAAAAGACTGTTGAGACCAGATATTTCAAATGGTATTTACCAATGAAACAGTAATTTGCTGGAAAATACCAAATCTATTCCTATACCATTCTTGCTTGCTGGAAATGAGAGTATTCAAAATCCAGCTAAAGAAAGATGTATTCAAAAGGTTTCATGAATATAAAATAAACAGTTTTTGTCTACAGATATATTTTGCATGTTTTTCATATTGTAACAATGACTCAATATAAATTTTTTTATTAACTATTGTTTGAAATTCTAATATTAACTGTAATAATTCTCATAGGAGCTTTTTCCCCCCAGTCACAGGTGAATCATCATTCATCTAATAATGAAACATATCAAGAAAGATTGGCACGATTAGAAGGTGATAAAGAGTCACTCATACTGCAGGTATGTCTTAAAGAGAGCATTGTCTACGTAGTCGATACTCAGTGAATAAAAGCTGACGTGACAGTATTTTCTGTTAAACAAGTGGTAGCAGGTCACCAAATGTAACTAATATTTAATCAGGAATTAATTTATAATATGTATAATCCATCTGATTGATTTCATGGTGGGATAGTGTGGTAAAGGGGAAGGGAACAGCAGGAGTAAGAGGGAGATGAATAAAAAAGGGGAAAAGATAAGAAAACAAAACAAAACCAACTTAAATAACGCTGTGGAGTCTCAGGACAGTACTGTGGTAGTGATTCTCATTCCAGATTTGCAAGGTTGTACCAGTTGATTTTTTTTTTAGGTTCTCTCTGCTGCCATCTTTAATTGGGGGGTGTGATGATGAAAATTAGGAAGTAAAATGGATGCGTAAGTTCTTCTAGGTTTCCTGTTTCTCAGTTACCAAGCCTTTTTCAAACAGATCTGCTGTCACATGTTAATCTTCCTACTGGGAAAACAGCTTATACAACTTCAAATTAAAAAACTCATTTTTTTTTTCCTGGATATTTTTGCTATTACTAAACTGTACATTAATTGCTTTTTAAAACTGAAGCTGGAGATTCTTTAAATGGTCTTTGCATATCCATTCTCTTTATGCTTACAAAAGCATATTATAAGCATATATCTTTCTTTATATCGAACAAAACTACACTGGGTAGGTGTTCTCCCTACTTTCAGTTACTAGTTTCTGTAAGCATGTTTTATCCTGTATGTTCTGTTCACACTTGTGTTAATTTACTGCTGTTGTTAAATAAACAGTAAATGGTTTGTGAGACATAAGTTTAGGCTTGGTTGGAATTTTCTTTTTTTGTTGTTGTTCCTGTGAAACTAAAATTGCTATTACCAAATTTAGAGGAAAAAGAAATAAATTTCCTGAATGAAAACCAAGTTTCTGTCAGTCAGGTCCAGGGAGGCAACATATGTTTATTAGAATACTTTCTATTAATCAAGTGGTTATTAACTTTAACATCTTGATTCTACTAATAATAGGCAGCAACTTTTCACATAGTACGTTCACTTCCCAGACAGTTCACTCTCACACATGAGCAATCATAATTGGAGCAACAATTAGGAGGCCAATCCCAGCTGTTTACTCAGAAACAGAGGGTTGTACTGATGCACCTGTGGCTTTGTCCTCAAAGGCCTCTGTTGTTTCATCACCTGTATGTATAGCCCCATAATCTTTGTCTACATATAGGAGCCACTGTTTTCTTGGATGTGGTTCATGCAGCCAGTTGTTGATGGTCATGTGTCCTGGTGGGCTTGGACAGATTTGGCAGAATCTTGATGTTCAAAGTATATCAGCTTTTGTGGATTTAACAGGACCGCTGGTCTCCAGAGCTTGTAAATTCTTGAAGACTCTTCCAGGCTACTGCTTACTATGTACTTTTGCTGTTCTTATCCTTCTGATTTTTAGTAACTATTTCTTCATCCACACAAACAGATACCTGTAGAATGCAACCAGCCGTTGGTTGCTCAATGGATGGTTTACTAACGAAGAAGAGGCGTTTATGACATGTTTGGAGACCTGCCTAGAGTTTTTTTCTCAAAAGGAATGTAGTAAAGTCAGATATAGGAATTGCCACTCTGTTGCCTTTTGACTCCCATCACACCCCTATCAAATCAGGAGGCTTAGTCAATATTTTTGCATTTCCTGTCCCGCTGAGCAGTATTGCAGTAGAACTCCTAAAACCCCAGGCAAGTAAGATAGGTGAAAACCTCACTCTGGTAGATGAACATCAAAAACAACAGAAAAAAGAGGTGCCAAGATAGAGCTGGGTTTAAAACCTGGTTTACACCAGTTCTCTATATTCTATCTAGGCAATCAAATGTGGGGAATGCAGGCGAGCCCCTGCTGAGGTTACACTGGCCTGAGGAAGTCATCTGGTATAAACCTGCCTCTTGGGTGTGACCATTGGCATGAAGGATGAGAAAGTGATGGGAAATAAAGCACCTCTATTCTGTAGCTCATGTGGAATAGTTGCCAATGACTGTAATCCATGTCTGTAATCTGTAGGGAATATGAGGTTGGTAGCACTCCAGTCTTGCATCTGATTTGCTGCAGAAGAGGCAGCTCAAGGCAGGCAGTGCCCACTGTCTCTGTCCACCAAAGCAGAGTCAAACAGTGCACATTGAGACCCACTTCCAGTGTTTAGACTGTAGTGGAGACTGAATATGCTACAGCATCTGGGATACCTTCTCATAGTTTAGTGACTGTATAGGAGCTAATGTACCTCTTCCGGTGCTTGGCTGTTGTTTCTTTTTTCCCACAAAGATATTTTAAACCCTTATACCACTTGATTTTTAGCTAATTCTTCAATATGCCTCACTCTTATTATATTTACAGAAAATACATTATCCACAGACTGACTTTTGCAGGTGTTACACTGCTAAGGCAAGATGGACTTGCCAGCATAGCATATGCTGGGGTTACATTCTGTATGTAGCCTACTGAGTCTCTGAAGAGTCTGGCAGATATGATCCTGAACAGAGGGGAAAATATGAGCTCAAAGTGGCTAATGTGCTTCTCAGCCTAACTACTGGAACATCCAACACATGCTCCTAAAGCTGCTAAGTTTCTATTAAATTCCTTTGCAGGTCATATTTAGCAGACGGTTTTCCTTGCAGGTTGCAATGCTAGTTGGAACCTAACCCGACCATTTAAGTGCAACTGGTTTTCTTTGGAACCTACATCAGACTGAAGGAGAGGATTGTTTCTTTCTTTCTGCTTTCTGACCTCAGAGGGGTTTGGGTTTTGTATGTCTGTGTGTGCCATCACTCATTTAATGGGAGCAAAACAAAAAAGTAGACAAGCAGCAGACTTCCTTGCAGGGAGTACTCCCCATGCTCAGGTTTGGATGTATCCCTCTGCCATTTGCCTCCACCTACTCCTTCCTATTTTCTCTTGTCCTTCGTTCATTTGTACTCTGTCCTACAGCCAGCTACTTTAAAGGCAAAAACAAAAACAAAAAAAAAGTCCTCTTTTTCTCTTTTTCTATGTTCCTCTCCCAGGCATGCTTGTCATTATGTTTGCAGGCAAAGCAAAGAAAAATCACTCACTCAGTCAATCCCTCTGCAGCTACCCTGAAGTGAACTCAGTTGTTGGTTCATTGGGATTTAGAGGCGCTGCATAGAGGGCACATCTCAAAGGGTTCACTTCCACAGACTGTACTTATTTTTTTTAATAAAGGTGTTGCAGGGTTGGATGTGAGAACACAGATAAGTTCATTTGGGGGGGGGGTGTTTTTTTTTTGTTGTTGAGATAACATTTTTCTAGTATAATCAAGGCATATTAATAAGTAGTAAAAATGAATATACAGTGTGTATGTGCTGCTTAATATAGGAATTCAACTGTTGCTTTTTCCCCCCACATCTTTCTAATGTTATCCTGAGTTTTTTCAGCTTTGTGATCTTTGAGTTAGGCTGCTGGGCTTCTCTTGTTAGACACTCACTGGTCTCTAACACCATTCCCACAGCTCCTTAGCAGTATTACTTATTGTTGCTTTTCTTGGGATTCATTGTCTGTATCTTGCGTCTTTTGCTTTCATGTTTTGGCTTGCAAAGCCTGGGAATTTTTCTTGGAATAGATCTTTGCTGCTGCTAAAACATGCCTTTTACTCATTGCATTCTTTATTAACTGCAGAAGGCTTTATTGATAAGTAAGCTCTTTTTCTGTTCATGTAAGAAGTAAAGTAATTGGTTGGTTTCTGAATGACTAGTTTTATTGTCCGTCTGTTTTAAGGACTGAAATGCCAATGCCAATGGAACCTGAAATGGCAATGCATGCTTGAAAATATTTTCAGTATCCTCTGTTTTTGTTTGGAACTTTCTAATTTTTCAAGACTTTTACTTTTCCATAAACTGACTCTGGCTACCTATAGGTAGTCTTCCACCTCTTCTAGAAATACCCTTTCTTTTTATATTAAAATAAAAAAAAATCAGGGGAGGGCTGAGAGGGCGGGGTTAAAGCAAAATATAGGTAAGGCTGGAAAATTGTCTATCTTGGTAGAGCAGGTTGCTGCAGTGCACAAGAATATTAAACCATTGAGAACTTTAAAAGAGAACTGGCTGTTAAAGTGTGCATTTGGATGTTAATTGTATAAGGTAATTGAAACTTAGTTACAGTCAGTTCAGTAGCATTGTGCTTCTCTTCTCAAATTACAGGTGAGTGTTCTTACAGACCAAGTGGAAGCTCAAGGAGAGAAAATCCGGGACTTAGAAATCTGTCTTGAGGGGCATCAGTTGAAACTGAATGCTACAGAAGAAATGCTTCAACAGGTAAAAGTCTGGATTGGGAAGCTTCTTGCATAACCTCCAGCAGAGGGGTGAACATACATGGTCAGCTTGTCTCTGTGTGTGAGTGCGTTTAGCAACGAGATAAAATGGGGAAAAAATGTCTCTTTTATTGTTCTCTTGCTGCTTTGTACCTTTTCCCCCACCCCCAATAAATGTTTCTTTGTTTTCCTGTTGCAAAAATGTTTTACTGCTGGTTGCATAATACTGTACGTGGCAGCATGTAAAATGAAACTATTGTGTCTTATTTGTACTGTGTTGACGAACTACATTTGGGCATGACTGTTGAGTAACTGGTTAGGCAGGTTAAATGTATCTAATGTATGTAGGAGTTATACAATTAAGAAGTTTTATTTAAATATTGTCTGGTTTTGTATGGCTTTGAAGTTGAACATGTAGTAAGTTGAAATGAGTTACTGTATCAAGTTTGGCTTTATAACCATTTTAGCTTAATTTAGGAGCTCTCCACTTATTTTTGAAAGAAAATTAGTGCATAAAGTGCACTAAAATTTAGTGCACATTTGAATTGACAGTTTCAGGATATTTGATTTAATTTTTGCTTATTCACATTATATGTTGAGGGAGCAGAAGAAATGCTAAATTACATACCTTACATGTCATGTGTTACTGCAGAGCTGGTAGGTCTGTTGATGCAAAAGAACTTTCCCCATGCAATTTTCTGATTTTATGGATGCAGATCATGCGCTGGTAGTACAGTACATAGTTATCAAAAATAGATTTGAAACTGCAAATAACCCTCAAAATCTATGCCAGAAATTTGCAAGGGTAGATAGATAGAACTTACTTCCTCTCCTTACCCGAAATGTTGTGTTATAAATTTACTATTTTCATCTATGTTAAATATACAAGTTTTTTCATGAACTGATCATAGCTTTAAATTATGATAAAGATCCCTATAATATGTATGCTAACAGTGGCAGTTTCTATAAGATAAACTTGTATCTTAACCCTTTTTAAGTTATAATTCTCGAAGCTTCTCTAAAAAGAGCACGGACTCACACAACTTCTGCAGCCCAAAATATGATGTATTATAGAAGTTATGTTCTCATATGTAAATGAGGGGATGTTTTTAAAAATGCAGCTAGTGAGTGTATTTCATTTTCCCATGAGATCTGAAGTGAAATTCAAAGAACAGTAACTATTTAAATTATGAAAATCTGTTTTTAAACTTCAGGAAAGCATTCACAATGGGAAGAAGTTTACTGTTTTAATCTAAAACTAGGTAGTTGTTCTGTGACTTCTGCTAAAAGTGGTTATTGTTTCTGTAACTTAAAATTTTCTGCTCTGATAGTATTCTGAGGAAACCATGAATTTAAAGCCTGATTTAACAGAACACTGAGGCATCTGAAAATAGAATATACTACTGAGATGTACATTGCTACTTCAGTGAAATTTTAATCTACCCATGTGGCATTAGGCACCTGTACAAATTGCTTATGAAGCTGATCCTAAAGTGATAAGCTGCAAAAGTCTGTACTAAAGCTAAAGGAAATCAGAGAAACTCCAAATATATTTAATATAACCCTTTAATATAACCCTTGAATTTAAATTGTGAGATCACTTTGAGTGGCTGTAACTGTTGCCAAATGGCAGTAACTTCAAATTTGTTTTCTTTTTTGTAACTGAATAGTTGGCAATAAGCTCAAATTTGTTGATTGTTTTGTTTTGTGTCGTACTTTCAAGATCTTGCATTTGAACATAATTTACAGAAATGCTGATAAGCTTGCTTGTGGATCACTAAATTTCTAAGTGACTGATCTCTTATGTTTACAGCATATATGATAGCTCAAGTTTGGGTTGGTTTTGTTTTGTTTTGTTTTTTCAAGAGGAAGAATTATGTAGGCCACACCTTGGTAAGCATTTGTGTTTCATTTAATCCAATGAGTTTGTCTCTTTGAACTTTGTACGGAGAGATGCACATACACAAACACATGCTTAGTATTTTAATTTTAGTGAGTGATGTGCTTTCAATAGCTGAACCAAAATTAAAAAATAAATTCAGTGCGGAACTGAGATATTTAAATTTTATTTTCTCACTGGAATGCAAAAAAAAATTGTGTTAACCTTTTAGTTTTGTGAACAGAAAGAAGAACAAATTAATTAAATACTAGAGGGTGATCAGGGAATGGTAGTTGTGTGTTTCTGAGAGAGATTAGATCCCCCAGTAAACAGTAGCATATGGGAAACCCAAGTTAGATCTCTGAAAAGCCCAACAGTCAGAGAAATTGTACATTTATTATGGCTCACAAGAGGACCCTATTTGTCTGTAATTTATTTTGAAGGTTCTTTTTGCAGTTCACCTTGTTGAAAAGATTACCCTCTACAGGGAATGAGTTGAGATTTGGAGACAAGAGAATGACCTGATCGTGTGAAGATTATGACATTCATGTAAGACATGTGGCCAGTAGGCCTTCTTGCAGTCAATTTGTCAAAAGTAGAGTGAGTGTCTGGCCTCGGAGACTTCAACAGACTGATGGATCAGCCAGGTTTTGGGAGAGGTTCAGACTTTCTCAGCCAGCAGTTGCCAGTGTACTGTAGAAGTGCTCATGATGCTTAGCAAAGAAATGAAAGATGCTTCTGTTGTCACTAAGTTTTTTCAGTGAAAACTGTTTAGTGGGCTTTCAAGACAGTTTTTTTGGTCTGGTTTTTTTTACAGTAGACTAACTTATTTCTAATAAGAAAAAAATCATCAGCTCTATGTACCTATATAAATACTCTTGCTTTTCGGAAAGACTTCAATTATATTCCTGAGGTGTATGCAAATCCAGTTTGATTTCATGGTTCTGCTTGCTTATTTACAGTATATTAAACTCCACTGATTTTTACCTTAGTGAACTTAAGTCAACTGCTTTTTCACAATGGAAGATGGAATGATAAAGATAATTGCCCTAGCTTGAAAAATCTTTAATACATATTAGTAGAGCTAAGCTAAGTGCAATATGGATCAGCATATTATTTACTTATCTGGGAGAAGTATAACTGAGTCCAGGGTAAGTCTTTTTGATTTCGGGAACTGTAAGAAGAGTGTCTTGATTCTGTGCCCCAAATACTAAAATAAAAAATCATACACTTTAAGGTAATTTAATTATGGTATCTGATAATTCTGCAACAAAAAGGGTTTGTAATGCTACCCTGCAAAATCATTTTTGCTGAATCTATGCTAGCAGAGACTTGTCCATTTTTTCAGGGTGGGGTTACTGGCTCAAATCCTTCTGGCTTATGATTTATGCAAAAGTTGTTTTGAACCCTGCTACAAAGTGATTGTGGAAACGCTTCTGAAACAGCAGCTAAAATAAACTTTATACCAATTACATAAAATGGCTGTTCAGCATTTAGGGTGGACATCTTGAATGTGGAACAGTAGCAACAGATACTGCTGCTTCTTTGCAGAAAACTCTTTATCACTCAGAGAACGGTGCGGTATCATTCCCTTAGTCAAAATGTGAACTTTAAGAAATTAGTTGAGCCAGTCTGAAGGTTCCTGCCACAAAAAGGAGAGGTCCCCATTGTTCTTTCATTCTTCTCCCTGTTCCTAACCATGTGCTTCTGCAACTTATACTGACTTCATGCTCATCAGACTTTTTCCTCAATGAGTCAAACAAACCTAACGTGGTTTAAAAAAGAAGGGGATGCTTTCTGCTGCGTTACTGAGTTGAAACAGCTCACTGAAAAGGTTAAGGTGCGGCATATAGGTGATGGTGAGATGTGCATTTGACCTAGCTGTTTATGAAAGGAGCCAAGGAAAATACATCTCAGCAGTGTCTGAGAAACAGGATGATCCTATGTGGCAGATGCAGAAATGCCCTAGTGTGCACAGTTACAGATAATACTTTCATGAGATGTGATGCTTATAGTGTCAAACTCAACATTTTGCTTTGGTAAGGATGCTTGCTCCACTACTAATCAGGATAAAGCATTTTTTACTTAGAAGGTGTTTGCATTCTCTTTCTTTAAAAACAAAGAAGGTGTTTGAAAACTCATGAAAGTCAAGGGCAAAACTTTAAATCTGTCCTGAAGTATGATTCCGATGTGGGCCAAGGAACATATTTCCCTGATCATCCTTCATTGTAAATGATAAGAGAAAATTTTCTGGGGCATGACTGAGAGCAAGACACCAGTTTCATCTCACTGGATTTCCTTCCAGTGGTATCTCTGGCTTTGACATCAAATGTGTAAAGGATATGGAAATGACAGCATGTGTGAATAGTTACTTGCCTTGCCGCTTAGCCCGTAATAATGAATGCCTTTGAAATAAAAAAAAACAAACCCGAACTTCTAGAATTATCCTATGAAAACAATTTGTGCTGTGGCAGTCTATTCCCAGCATTTCAGCTGCTTTAAAATGTACAATTACAGCCAATTTTAGAGAACAATGATGTGTGTGTGTCTTGCTCCCAGTTAGTTTGTGGAATTTCAAGTACTTCAGTCAATTTTAAGATTTTTTTAAGAGAAGATTGGGACCTGAATGTCTGCTATGTTAGCTTAGGGGAACCTCCTATCAACTTGCTGTCAACTTTTCTTTCATCTGTACTGTGTACAAATGTAGAATAGAATCGGGAAGCATAAGTCACTTTTACTCTATAAATGCGCCTAACCTCTCATGGTAGGGAATCCATGCTGTCAATCTTGACAACTGTGTTAAGTCAGTTTGAAAAGTGAATTTTCTGCACATAAAGATTTCACCTTCACAAATGCCCTTTTAAGTGCATTTCTTATGGTAATTGTTGTAAGAATATTGTTAGTTACCTTTTTTGCTATCCCCATGCTGCATTTGATTTATTTAACAGATCATAGTTCCCATGGAAGTTGTCTGGCATGAAGTAAAAAAGCATGCAGTTTAGTTTGCTTTCCCACTGTGTGGCAGTGTCTTTCCTGTACCTGACCTGTATGAAATCCTAGATGTGGTCTGACTCTGTATTTCCACCTTCCAAATTATTTCTGACACAGAAGTGCAAGAAGCAATCCAGGGGACTCTTGTCAGATAGTTGCATTGTGTAAGTATGATTGTGTCTTCTGTCAAGTAAATACTCTTGCAATGTACAAAGTATTTGGCTTTAGGATTCTTTCTGCCTTAAAAAATACACACAGAAACTGAAATGCTTGATTGCAAACAGGAGTGAATTCCTGTTTCTCGGGTCCGTTTACAGCCAGCTTCTGCCTGGCTGCACGGAGCAGGGGGAAGTGCGCCAGAGAATGCCCTTTGTGAGGCACAATGGAGAATCTTTAAAAAACCCGTGGATTAAAAGAATGCAGGGAGGAGCTGTATTGAAAGTAGAAACTTGAATCCAACACAGTTTACTGTGTACCTGTTCTGGTTTTGCAGTTGTCTTATATTTGGGGGAGCCAGAATCCTGTCTTGGTTGCAGGGTATAAACCTAGTGTGTATCTGTTTGCTTCTCAGAAACTTTGCTGGCCAGCAAAGATCATTCCTTCAGCTTTCAGTTGCCTGAGTTATCTGATCTTAGATGAATTTCAGCACTTGTTTATAGCATGCAGTAACTTCTTGCCAGAAGCTAGCTTAGTGTTTCAGATTTTGAAGTGTGCTCTGTGCTGCTCTGGGGTGAGGCATAAGATTTTCAGTGTGTGCTCCCAAGTTGTGCAGCATATCTACACAGGTGAGCATTACACTGCTTTGTTATTTTACAGTTAATGTAGGCATGAATCTGCTGGTCCAAGTGTATGCTGTTCAAATTGGCAGTGCTGTGGGAAGCTCTGTCCTTTTTTGTTGCTTAACTATATAATGGACAAATGATGAATTGGAGGGCTGTAATTTACTCTCTGCTACTAACTTGCATCATTTCATGGCGATTACACATGTACATTGCTCTCAGCTGTGTTTTCAGTTAAGCAAATATCTTATTTCTACCACAGCTGACACACAGCACTTGAAATGGGCAGTCCTCCTTAGCAGTGGTTCTTGGTGAATTTTGCTTACCAGGTAGGGTAGCATGGTCGGTCTTTCTGTCTTCTTTTTTTTTATTTTAATAAGGATGAAAATTACAGAATTTTTGAGTGTTGTATTTTGTACAGTGCACAAGTGCAAAATGGGATTTTTGGGGTTTTTTTTCCTCCCACTTGACTAAAACCTTACTTATGGTTTCTCAATCAGTGTATGGCATGATTGTTCCTTCTGTTTTGCGGAGTGTTAAATATCATGGAATTTTCTGTGCTTGCAGCTGACAGCCTAGAAAAGCGTAGTGTCCTCTTTCTAAGCTATTTTATGTCATGTCTTTTTTATAAGAATTATGTATTTCCAAGACAACACAATGTGCGAGTTATATATATACAGCATACGCCTCAGTTTCATTTGGAATATTGAAAAACATGATTAAATACTTTAAAAGTAGACAGTGTAGGTTTTAAAAATACAGTGGTGTTTTGAAATAGTTTGCTGTTGATTGATCTGTCTGGCACATGCATATTGTAGCTTCTGCATGACTTGTCTTTGTAATTATTCTACTTGAAAATAGGTTTTTCCCTTTAAATTTAAAAGTTGAGTTTTGAAAAGAGAATTTTGGGTAATGAAATTATACTTATAGCACATATTAAAATTAAAACCAGGTATCTTGTTTTATAAAGTTCCCTAGGATATGTTCTATTTCTGTTCTATATTTCAGCTCATTAAGATCCTCCTAAAGCTGCTTCAGCCCAAATTACCATTTTGCCTGTTATAGTATCATTTTTGCTTTAAAACCAATAACATAAATTTGTATTTTCTTTTCTTACAATTGCATATTTATTCTGGCTGAATTCAAATTGCATCATACCACTGAAATACACCATAATTTCTCTGTAACAAAATGGGTCACATTCATAATGAGCTGTTCACTGTGAGCATCTGCTTGAAGATGAAAATAATTGCTTCCAGATGTTACCATTTCAAGAAGGGACGTTTGCTTTAAACGGCACTTTCTTTCAAAGCAGAAGTTAGACTCTCTAGATGCAAGAGAAATTGTCAGCTGTTTTAAATCAGTGTAGCTCCACTGAAAAGAAGCTAGGGATAGTTAGCTATTTTGTCTATTTTAAGGCAAGAGTTTTATGCCACTTCACACTGGCTGAGGAGTCTGGTTCTCTATCTTCAGATCAAACTACAAAATTTCGTTTGAGTTGACTGAAAAAAAAACCCAAATATCAGGTGCCTTAATTCTCACTACTCAGCGCTCTAGTGTTCACATGGAGCTACTAAACTCAGCATGAGAGGAGTGAGGATTTAGTCCTTATTGCATAACTAAGTGTCAGTTGGGGGTCTATAGAAAAAATAAGGAGTAATGCCAGGTGGTGCGCTGGAAGGGTAGATCTTTCATTGATCTCTAGAGGGATGCCATGTCTCCTTGCCTTATTCAGAAATCTTCCTGTTGTATCATGGAATGCCATGTCAGTGTCAAAAAACCCCAACTTCTAAATGATATTTCAGCTCAACAGTGAGTAGAGTCTGACCGGGCCAAGGTCACCTCACCCTGACAACCTTTTTGGTGCTCAGTAGCCTTATTTCATATTAAGGTTCTCATTTATAGGTATGTCTTTATTTTCAGAAGTCTGATATGTTCACAGCTGTACAGAGCCTGTTCCAGTCTGGATTGGAATGTGCTGCTATGGATCTTAGGCAAATTAGCATCTTTCTGGAAGATAGAGGAGTTACTTGTAATTAGAATTGTAATTTGTACTCACCTTTGTAGAAAGCAGCTACTAGAGAAATTTCATTAGGTAACTGCCTCTGAGAGTTTCTCAGTAAAAAAAGGCAGTGCACTGTCTTTTCCTCGTCAGTGCTTGATTTATTTCATTTAGAGGAAGAAAACCCAACCAAATCATGAGACTACATTTCTGTTTGTTTTCCCACCCATACACAAATATCATTGTCAATGTCAGCAGGAATGGCCATGGCACTGGGAATCGTGGGTGGCTTAGATAATTGGTGTTGCAATGCAGATGCAAGTTCAGTACTATTTTTAATTTGAGCAGTATTCCCCACCAGACTAAAACAATTTACTTGTAGAGTAGATTTAGGTTCCAAATACACTTTAATTGTGTAATTTTTTTAATAACCTTTCTGGGCTCTGTGGCTCCAGGAAATGGTCTACAACATACTGTGCAGTTTATGGGAGAGGAAGACATAAGAAAAGCGTGACGGACAGGGCAGTTTCGATTGCTCGGTAACATCAGCATAGATCCAGAATAGCTATGGCAACTTCGGTTAAGTCACTTCTATGTAATTCAAAGCAGAATCTGCTGTGATTCCTCCGTGTGTTTCACATGATGAAAACTCTAATGTGAGTTATGAGTTAGCAAAAATTTTTTAACCATTTAGAAACCAGTGTTCTTTTGTAAAAATTATTTAGGCACTGTAAGTATTGATTTTCCAGTAAGGCTTAAAGTCCTGAATGGTTTGGAGGGTTTTTTTTCCACTGCTTGAAAATGGAGACCAATAGAAGCATTAACATAAAACTCTGTTATATTTTGGAAGATGTTTTGAAAGATGCAGGGAAGGTGATTACTGAATGTTTTCCAAACACAGTGGTATCACTGGGTCCAAAGTACACATCTCTTTGCAACCTCAAAAACAAACTCAGGGTACACAAGCAAGACTCATGGCCAGTTGTTTCTACACTGTTACTCAGTCTAGATATTGCCTTTTAGATTCCAGTTTGGGGATACACTTTTTATTCACTGCTGTTCCCTCCACAGTGTACAGTCTTCAGAAGTTACAAAGTACCACATGATATAAACTTCCAAGTACTGCTAGTATTACTGCTGAATTGCTGCATGTCTTTGGCACTCTGTTTTGGTTAGGGTGCTTATTCTGTAATATCCTTTATCAAACAACACATAGTAAGAAGTTCTAAAATGTTTAATTGTAATACTAAAACATAGCTTTTTCTGATGAGTATTTTAGGAAGTAGCCAATTCTTTTGTAATGTGTTATGTGGCATTATGTAGGTTTGTGTTTGCCTAGCCTTAGTATTGTTTTCTGATTTCATGGCTTGCGTGGGGATTAACTTTGCCACGTGTTTTCCTGAAATATGGCAGAGACCACAGCGGCATAGCCATTAACATGGGAGACTGTTTACATGAAAACCTGAGAAACATGCAGTTCAAACAGGTCAAAAAATAGATGCTGTGAAGAGAGGTAGGGAAATGTCCTTTAGTATGAATTTGCCAATAATCCTTTTTTTTTGTTTGTTTTGTTTTAGTTACTTTTTCGGCCAGCAGCAGATGCTTACATCAGAACTGTCTTGCTGCTTTTTTTTTCCATCGTAAAGCAATAGCAATTGTGACTTTAAGAGAATCATTTTGCTTTTGTATTGAAAGCGTTAAACAATGGGGTAGAGGCTTTAGTATGGATCTGCCAATAAATCATGTAGCATTCTGTCAGTGTTCAATTAAATAACCAGAGAAAATGTTCTGCTTTGATTTCAGGAGCTGCTAAGTCGAACATCACTAGAGACTCAAAAATTAGACTTAATGGCTGAAGTTTCAGACCTGAAGATTAAACTGGTTGGTATGGAAAAGGAGCAGAGTGAATATGAAGAGAAACAGAACAAAGCTGAGGTGAGTTTCTTTCCTTAGGCTGTTGTCCTTTTTTATCATGTCTCTGGTATGCTGTCATGCACCTGAGCATTCAAGCTGAAATTGGCATGCAGTAGGATTTTCCGTCCATGCCATTGATCATGTGAATTCAGTGAAGAATATGATTATGCGTTTTTGGGATTTGGTTTCTTTTCTCCTCTCTCATTATACTTCCAGAGGTTGCTGTTTGGCTTTAATCAAGGCACAAAGTCCCTTCCAGAAGCATACATTACAGTTGCCATTCACTTAACCCTTTCCTTTTCACATAAGCTTGGCTGGCATGGCCATGTGCAGCCTATGAGAGCTCTTCTATTTCCTCATTTATGTGGCAGAGAAGACTTGTCAGCCCCGTAGTATCAGTGGTGCCACAAACACGTAGATGATCACCCTTGGTGATTTCAATGCATTCGTGGCACTTGGGAGGGAAGGACAAGGGGCAGGGCATATTCCTCAAATGAGCCTTTCCCCTTGTGGTTACAGAATAAATAGTGAAAAAAAAAAAAAAAAATTACATGCATTGGAGGCAATTCTAATCCTTGTTCCCTTTCATATGCGGAGAGTTCTGGTCATCAAAAAAGCTTTGCTTTTTACCATATTGATTAAGAAAGAATATAAAACAGAGAAACATGAATGTGGAATCCTGGAAATGAGCAGCAGAGGGGAGCTGGGAAGGAAAGCGATTATGAAGAAGGTAATTCATATGAATTGCCATGTATTGCTCTACTCAGTGGTCCTGTAAGGGAACCAACTGACAGAAGGAGGAACCAACTGGCAAGGGAGGATTGCTAGGTCCAAGATTCATACATTGCTGACTGAAAAAACTTCCATGTTGACACAGGAGAATTTGAAATCCAGGCAGTGTTAGAAAACTGTTTGATCTCCATAATGTCACTAGTGGAATATTTGGGAAGCATGCATAAGTAATTTACCTGCAGTGACATAATATGTTTGGAGTGTGTTTGTTTTTTGACTTATTTATCCTCAGAAGTTTTCTTTAGAGATCAAAAGATAGCTTAAAGAGAGCAATCCCTGGCAGAGGTTGCAAGCCAGGGAGGCACCAGCTGCTGTTTTTACCATCTATGGCCACCTTGTGCTCTTTCACCCATAATTGTCTCTTACTACCTGAAAATCTAAACAGGTCTGTGCAGCACGTAATTGCTACAGATTGCAGCCTACTCTCAGTAGCCACCTTTCTGAGAAGCCTTCAGCTCTTCCTGGTGTCCAACATGTAATGGAATGAGGGTGCCTAAATTATTGCAGGACATGCAGAGTCAGCCCGACTTCTGGAAGGCAACAGTGGTTTTGAGTGCATTTGCATTGATAGAACTTTTAAGTAGGTCTGGGCCTGTGGTAAGGATGAGGCTATGAGCTGTGAAATTCTTTTGATACTGCAAAAAGATGGGTGACCCCCTTGGATGGAAAAGCTCAGCGTTATTGGGCCTGGAAGCCTTTGCTGTATTGCTGAGTGATAGGAAATGTTCCTGCTGAGACGGAGAAGGCTTCTAATCTGAGGGAAAAGTTGAGAATCATTGTGTTAAGTATGCCCTGAATTATTAACTATGCCAAGATGTGATTAGATTTCTGGCCTGTTCAAAGTTGCAAACCTGTGTATACAGTGCAGGGAAAATGAGTAAGTAAAGCTGTGGGAAATAAACATCATTTCTAGTTTAATTGTTGAGCCATTTAAAAAATTACTTCAGACTGTCCTAAATAAGCATTAATCTAATTTGTAAAGATAAACAGGGATTGCTTTCAGTCAGATTGGATGCTTACTTGAATTCTAATGCTTTAACCCTGTTACAGCTTCTTTTGTTGTAAATTTCACTAATTTTTCAATACAAACACTATTTCAAATATAAGAATGAAATTTATTGATATGTTTCCTTTATAATGTTAGACTACAACTGCTGCTTAAATTTGGTAATAGTTTGAGTGTCTTCCTGAACTTCCTGTCTCCTCTGCCCAACTACATCTATCTAAGTGAGTAAGCCACTTTTAGGTACTCAGTCTATGTTTAGTTTGCTCTCATTTACACATACGCAGTTGTGTTGCGATAACCTACTTGCTTCAGAATGAGACAGTTCTCCAAACTGACAGTGACCAAATGAAATGAATCTCTGAATGTTATAGGTACTTCAGCATTCTTCTACAGGTACAGTACCTCAAATGAAATTGCAATTAGTGTTTTTAAATAAGTGGAATACAGCTATGGGTGACAGTGCTGGATCTGTTTTTATAGACTGCAGCCAGCCAATTCGTGCTTTCAAGACTGAGTTTAGGATTGACAGAAGTGAGCAGAACAGGGATTTGATAGATATGCTACTATCAGAAGGTAATAGTCCTGAGTTTTCACACTAGTGCACGTATTATAGAGGTATCCAGTAGTGAAACCCTTTCAGACAACTTGTTAATTATACTCCATGGCTGACCGTGCCATTTCTAAGTATAATAATGGCTTTTAAAAAATTTAAAATTAAATGTGACATTGCAGAATAATTCAGCTCAAACATGTTTGCTCTGTACTCTAATTTTATGTCAGCTTATTTCACAGCAGCTCTTTCCAGTCACATGGAATTTAGCTATAGAATTATTTGTCTGGTTGAGTTGGGGGGAAACAAAGCAAATTAAGATATCCTTCTCAATATGAGCAAGTTTTAATGTGTCAGGTTCATTTCACTTTATCTTATGCAGCTGTTGTTTAAATTTGGTTTTAGTTAGCAGCAAGGAGTTTATTAAGCGCCTCTAACCTCTTCTCAAAGGTATTAATTTCACACTGAATGCCACTTGTCTCTGGCTCTTTGAAAGCACATGCTAAATTTAAAGTGCCATCTATTTATATATCTAACACAGGGGCTAGGAGAATAGCTGCTTGTAAATGGACTGTCTCACTGTTGACTTTGTCATTTTAGTTCCTTTATTGTGGAATAATGTTTATTTTTGCCACAGCAATTCTGTGGAGGTTTTTGAAACCCCACCTAAGGGAGTTTTTGCAGCTTTTCTCTTACTTGAGAAGCCTTAAAAAATTTGGAAATGTGTTTTCTTAACGCAGCAAGGTATGAATGATCAGCATTATCAAGTGATTAATGCAGCCCAAATGCCTGCCTTACCTGAACACAGAAGACAAGAGACCTCCTATCACTACCAGGAGACTGCAGAAGTGATTGTCCATTTCATTTTGCTTAACAGCCTTTCTTTTTTGGCATAGGATAAATTTTGTTGGTTTTGCTTTTTCCTCCTAAGGATTTGAAGCTTGCTGTAAGCTGTTAAATATCTAGTGCATAGTTACTTGCGGTTTCGAAGAAACTTAGTGAGCCACTGACTCCCACTGGGGAGTCTGGTGTGTTGTCTCACCTGAATCAAATTCAAGATATAGTATGTTAATATATTTTCATGCTGTAAAGGAATCTCAAAAAGAGAAACCTTTTCTACCTTGAAGCTAGAAAAAGTTGTAAGGGCACATATTGCAGCTGAAGTTAATCTGTTTCTCCTCCATAGATTTCTTATCCTCCACTGGGTAAGGATTTCTGTCATTTCTGTACTGTCAAGTTTGCCCTGGGGGAAGTCTGTATGGATGCAGAGTGTTTCCAATTCCTGTTTTTAATGTGAGGTGATAGGGAAAAGAATGATAAGGTTGCATCCAAAGTGTTTCTGATCTCTCCCAGGTTGGCACAACTGGAGCAGCTGTCAGTTTGTACTCAAATGTCTGTGCATCTTGTTAGAGCAGTCCTTTAGAACCTTGTGTGGGTTAACAGTGTTCTGTCAAAGACAAACGAAAGCCTTGGTGCTTGAAAGAAAGCAAGGAAGATGGATGTGTGTCCTAATGATTCCAGTCATCGCCAGTTGGTACTGCTCAATGAGGTATCAGATTGTGGAGATGATGGTAAAAAAGAAACAAGATTAGAGCATGCAAGGTGGAGGGGTTGTGGATAGCATCTAGATTGTACATACAGCCAGTACTACAGGTATTCTACTTTGCAGTACTCCTAATAAGAGGATGAGTTAGGTGAGGTTCTCCCCACCAGTGTCCTACTGTATTGCTGCAAAGTGGCCAGTGTAGCCGGTATTCTTTCTAATGTTTTTTGGTTGTTTATGGAACTAATCCTCATTTACATACATTAAGAGTTGATTGGATGAAAGAGTATAAGCATCAGACATTGTGATCCTGACTAAGAATAATATGTAAGTTAGTTAAATATATGCAACTGTTTTCCTGAATTTCATTTTAAGCACAGTGCCCTAAAAAAAAATAATTGATGTGAAACCCTTGTATCTGGCGCATACACTGTTGAAAGGAAATCTTTGTGAATGTTTGAAGTTGACTGTGGATGTTGATGCAATTTGAGATTGGTTGTGTTATACACTTACCTGGTTGGAATAGCATCCTGTCCTTGCAGTAGCTGTTCTTTAGCTGTATGATTATTGGTTCACCAGAGGGTTGAGATGGCAAGAGGGCTTCTGTGTGTTGTAAGGAAGAAAATTCTAAGAAACATGCCATGTCTTCTGTTGCCCTGTCCACTAAAATCTTCCCCCCCTTTTGGAGATGGATTAATCTCCTCAGATTTATTCCAGTTGAGAAGATTGAGAAATCACAAAACACATGTTGTTAATGTATGTGAAAATTAAGAGAAAAGCACTCCAAACTTGTAATACCTGAGAAATTACCCAGCACTATTTACTACTGAGTTAGGGAACTTAAGTGAAATGTTACATACATTTTAAAACTTGTCTTTGGTTTGCTTTCTGTAGCTGGATTTTTTGTTTGTATCACTGAAACACACAAATCCAAGAATCTGGCCAGCAAATTGGTGCACTTTAATTACTTTTTCTTATGTGGTATCCTTTGATTTCTCCTGCGCATGTTGCTTAACTTTCTCCATGTCAAAATACTGCCTAGCTAGCAAGCTAGTAATGGGGTTATTTTTCTGACCCATGCTAGACCTGGAAACAGAATTGCTTTACTAGTAATTTCTGTGTATAAATTGTGAGGAGTAGGTTATGGCCCCATCTGAGTACTTAGCAATTTCTTCCTAGTGAATGGTTTGGCTATATAAATTAATGGAATCAATTCCCATTTCAGCAAAAGTGTGCCTCTGTTGCAGTTCTTCCTGATATCAGACTTCATGTGACTGTAAAAGCTTCCAAAACTGAGGGGCCAAATTTGTTCTTTATATTAGAATCAGAATCATGAATTAGTGCAGAATATAGACTCTGTTCTATGTAACCTGTAGCTCTGTGCAATATTCCAGATTTAAATCCATTCACATGTACCATAACAAAAGGAAAATATGTAATCTCTTGGGGTTTTTTTTCAGTTTGATTTGATGTGCTTCATGTGTTTCTTCGTGCTGCAATTGTAGAAGTCTTCTTTGCATCATTTTATTTCTCACTTTTTTTTAAATCTTTTTTTGTCTCTTTTTTTTTCTTTCTTCCCATGTTTTCAGTCAGTAGTGAACCTAATAAGTGAGCTACAGGAGCAGATGTGTAGACTGCAGCTGGAAATTAATAGTAGAATCCAAGAAAGAAATTCTCAAGATAGGAAACCAGACTTGACACCTAATGGTCCTCAGTCTAGTCCAAGATCAGTGGTAGAGACTCTCAGCCAGAAGAATTGTTCTCAGTGCAATGTACGAGAAGTGCACCTTAGCCTGTGTATTGCCTCTTCTCTACTCTTGCAGAAACTAAATTCTGCTAACCAGGATTGTGTTGTGAATTACTGGCATTAACTTTTGTGGCTTTCATTAACAAAGAGTGAGGTGGTCTTAAAAATTACAACAAAAAAGAAACTCTCCAACCCAGACACCCCAACCCCATTTAATAAACTGGGTCACCATTGATGTCTGTCTACTAAGGCACAGGTATCTGTAAGAGCTAAGCACTTTCAGTTTTTTTATGAATCTAACTGTACTTGTAAGTCTGTAGTGCTGGTGTGGTGTGTAGGTTGGAGGATTTTAATTTATTATTTGAGTGGCTGGGTTTTTTCCATAGTTGAGATTTATCTGTTTGATATGCAGCATGCTAGCATGGTTTGGTAGTTTGGTAGTTTTCCTCACAGTCACCCTAGCTGTGCATGGTGGTGTATCCTAACTAGTTCTCTAAACACAGATTATTAATTCTTCACTGTCTTAAAAGCTTTACACAGGTATGAAATACAGTTTTAGGTAAGAGTATCTGAAATGTGGCCTTTGATAATGCTAAATGAATGGAAGGAGCCATAATAAAAATACCTTTAAAATAGCAAATCCAGCACATTTTTCTTTATTATTTGACAGTAGCAGTTACCAGGAAAACATTTTTGAATTTACATTGCAGATCCTAGTTGTATTTGACCAAAACTGTCACATGTCAAAACAAAAGCTACTTTGCCTAAACCACTTAACAATGCCTGAAAATTTCCATTTCAATATTTGCTTTTAAATTGGTTTGCTTTAGTTGCAACCTCTCTTTGGTCTCAGTTTGGATCCCCAGAACTCATTTTATAAGTAATCTGCTTATATTGTGAGGGAGTTTTTCAGTAACTTTTCTCATAGGTTTATTTTACAAAAGTAATTCATTTGGACATGATGCCTATTTTGAAAATAGTGCTATTTTTCTGGGCTTGCTTCTGTCCAGAATTGATTAGTGAACTATTAGACTATACTACAAGCCGCATTTGGAAAAATCATGAGGGTCAAATCTGGGAGTCATTCAAAATAATTTAACCCAAGATATTAGTATGGCTGTTCAACATATATGCTATACAGCATTCCGAATTGGGCTAAGCTTCCAAATTTTTCTTTTCCTGAGTTCATTTGAAGACATTTGGTCTTGTCAGAGTGATATTTAAGAGACAACTTCATCTCTCAGGAGTAGAGGAATAGAAGAGAAGGCTAGGAACCCTGGTTGGGTGCAGCCCTTGGCTACCTCAACTCAGTTTGCGAAGTGGCAAACATTAACAGTTGAAGTAGCATATTTCTGGTCGTATTTGACTGTATGTGTATTGTATTAAATGCCTGTAACTTGCTAGATACTATTTTGTCTAAGTGTTATATTTTTTGGTAAGCAGTTTAAACACCTGCTTGGGGCAAGGATTGTCAACTTGGCAGTCCGGTAGTCTTTTAGTACTGCATGTTTCTGCTTACTTTATGAGGTGGCTTAAAAACAAAATGAGACTTAAAAACACAAAACAAACCAAATAAAACTAGCTCTGCAACAAAACCGTGATAATTGATGTTACATGAGACTGCAGTTGCAGATTTTTTGGCTCATTTTCACCAAGATATGCCTGACTTCGTCAAGATCAGCTATCTTCCTTAATACAGATAGGAAATTTGTTCATAATTTCAAGTGGAGGGTTTGAGAAAGTATTCCTTATCTTTCAATTCAAAATAGATTTTTGTCTTCTAAGACTAGGTCACGGTTTTTGATGTGGTGGTTCAGTGTTCACTACTGTGTGGTTCATGCATGATCTTTAGTTCAGGACTATGAAAAATTACTAACTACCAGAGAAATCTTATTTACACCTGCTGTTTCTTCTTTGCAGGGTTTGCTTCAGGAACTTAGACACCTCAAAATTAAAGTGGAAGAACTGGAAAATGAAAGAAATCAATATGAGTGGAAATTAAAAGCAACTAAAGTAAGCAGAATACTTGGCATTTACTAATGACAGACATTTCAGCTGGAAAGGGAAATATTTACTCTTCTTACAATTGCCTTATGTCAGGGCCTACTATGAGTCAAGTTTTCTTAAGCCATCTTTGGAATGAGTATTTAGGTTTGAAGTTTTTGTAGTTTCTTTTTGTGCTTTTTGCTTCCTCCCATCAGTTTCCAATATTCTACCTTTTAGTAGCTGTTATTAAAAAAAAAAATGAATAAAGAAGTCCTTTTGACTTACAAAAGACCTGTTGTAAGGAAATTTTTTGAATCTTTAAAATCTTTGAAAATTTTCCATCTTTTATTCGTTTATTGGTGACAAGCTTTTGTGGAATTTGCTTTCCAGTTTGAAGAGATATGCAAATATGGGTGTTCACTTAGTGTGGAATTTATTTTAATAGACATTAAGCCCAAAATACACTATTAGATCATCTGCTTTGACTTCCTCTGTAACAAAGTGCATAGCTGCCTTACCCTTCTGTTGACCTTGAATCCTGGAAAGCTGTTGGGTCCTAATCTGGAAGAGCTTGACATCTGAAACATTTCATTATTTTCCCCAATCGTTATTTTTTCTAGTTCAACATTCTCATTGTTAAACCATTGAACTTTATTTCTAGTTTGAATTTTTCCATTCTTTTAGATTAAAATTCTTTTAGATTAAAAAGAGCCTCATTGTTTTTCCCTGTACGCTTTCGTGCTGTAATCGCATCTCCTTTGATTTGTGTAGTACTTTAATCCCTGTTCATATGAATTACTGACTCTGAGTTGTGGTTAGATCTTGGAAAAACATTTTGAATTATTAAACTGAGTTTTCTTTTTAATACTTGATAGCTTGATCCTGAAATGACAGACAGCTATTGTTTGCATTAGCATGTCTTCTGAGAATTCTCGGATGAATATTGAAATGTTCTATGAAATGTTGCTGTCATGGTTTTTTCCTATTAAGATCATAGCTCTTGTATCCATGAAAATTTTTTCTCTGAAGTGGGGGATATGAACAGTCTTTGGGAAAATATTTTCTCAAGTATTGTGGCCTGTGGCCAGTTGCCAAGACAGATAAAGATTATGGAAAATGTAGGAGTGAAGTAAGAAAGAAGAGTAGGAGAAGATGCAGGTCTAGAAGGGAGGAAAAGTACAGGGAAAGAGAGAGGAAGCAGAAAAATAATTTGAGAGATGACTGGAATGAGACATTAAAGAAAAGACAGCATTTAAAGGAGCTATGAGATCAAATAGACCAGGGGAGCCAAATCCAAATCTGGTATTAAAATGTCTTCAGCTTTTGTCTTCCTGTTGCTCCAGTTTCTCAGATGAGGAATTGGAATATTTCCATGACTGGATATAAAAAGCATATTAGTCTCTGGGAAGTGTAGGAGCCCTTCAGAGATGCAACAAGGCAGATTCTTCTATTTCATATGGAATTGCAGGCAGAGCTGTTTGCTTCCTGGTGAAAATAAGTTTTTGTATTAGAGTAAATTAGTCCATGTTTTTCCCCATTGTTTGGTGTTCTGCTTTCCTTTAGTATTTTGAGTAACTGGTCACGGAAGTGATTTATTTGTTTGTCTGTTTCCTTTTTTTCTTTGATTTTTTTCTTTTTTTTTTCTTTTCTGCAAGGAGCTTTTTATGCTTTTGCTGTGGAAATGCAGAAGGTGGATATAGATAGGCTTTAGGACTGCTGAAGAAAATCTTAATGAAACTACTAACTTAGTAAAGTATGCTGTTGACAGTGTTTCTCACAGATAGGAAAAAGAGTTGAGAGCCAGTATATTTCAAGCTGGACAGTCACAGAATTCTTCTCCCTCTGTATTGTTGAGGTCTTTAATGTGTGATATTCTATCCCACTCCAGTGGCAGCACAATTTGCAGTAAGTGTAAATGAACTGTTGGTATTTTGTGGTATATGTGGTGTTGTTTTCCAAGCCATACTTTGCTTCTAGACTATTTGCTGTAGTATCTGACGTGAGGAAGAACAATTTTGTTACCCTGCTGAGAATTGGGCTTAGCATTTGTAGATTCTCAGTTATATTAATAAATAGTACAAGGATAAAAAACCCAGGATCTTTCAAAAAATGCTTTGTTATCTTTTACTGGTCTTCATGCAAAACTCAGGAGTTGCCCCGTAATAGTCGTTAATATATGACCAGCATTGTAGCACTGAGAGCTTTCCAGAGTTTCTTTACCCGCATGACTCCTTGAAAATGTTACCTTTCTGTAAGTCTGTTCTTTGAGAGCTAATTGCATTGGAAAAAGTGAGCTGCTGTAGAAGGAATAGGATAGTTATACCATGAAATATGTACAGTTGTTATAGTGTTTATTAAGTGTCCTGAATCGGGAATGGGACATCAAAGTGAAGCGTTATGCTTAGAACTCTTCTAGTTCATGGAAAAGAATCATAGAGCATTGGTGACAATGTTGTTCTGAATTTGTTTACTCTGTTTCAGGCTGAGATAGCCCAGCTTCAGGAGCAATTAGCTCTCAAAGATGCAGAAATAGAACGCTTACAAAGTCAGCTATCCAGGACCTCATCACATAATGAAGTGGCAGAAAGAGGTAAGAGAAGGAGAAATAAAATTTAAAATCCAAAACCTACTTTAATTTCACTTTGGTGGCCGCTTGGCTCAGTATTTCAAAGGAATACAAGGAGAGACCAGAATATTTATTTTGGGAGGAAAAATAGTGCAAATATATTTTGTCTTCCGATAGAGGCCTTTAATGTGTGAAATTCTATCCCAGTCTAGAGGCAGTGATAAATTGCAATATGTATCCCAACAGCACTGAAACTTTTTCTAGTGGAATTTTATTTGGATTTTGAGAGATTTATTGTTGTTTAGTGAGAATTTATTTTTGTGCATACCTTCAAAATTTCTTTGAAAAATCTTTACAGTTCCCATATTTAAGGAAAAAAATATTGTCACAGTAGTAGCTAAGCATAATGTTTAAATGTCCAAACATCCTAAAACATGGTCACTGATACATGTCTTTTCTTTCTTCAAGTCTATACATTATTTAGGCTCCCTCTCCCATTAAAGGTTGGACCAGATAGTATTTCAAGGTCCCTTTCAGGGGCTGTTCTATAACTTTATGATACTGTAGGGTTCTCATCTAAAACTGCACTGTTGATACGAGTCAATGGCAAATCAGCTTGTTTAGCCTTTGGTCTCAGCAGGTCATCTGAAATGGAATTTCAGTTCCTTGAAATACTGACTGCCCTGAGCTTCTGTCAATGGCTGGGCTGTGAGCAACATGATATTAGTGACCTTTTTCTTCTATATCCTGCCACCTAGCCATGCAGAAATACTTGTGTGTAGTTTAATGCAGTGCATCAGTTTAGCTGCACTAACTTCTCTTGTGGGTGTAAACTAATGCTTCCAAAGAGTGACCTTGTTGAGATGTGACTTTTCTGGTGCTGTGCTATCTTTCTGCCAGGGCTTACCAAGAATATCCTTAAAGGGATTAATGCAGATGTGTCTTTTCTAGAAGACTGGATTTTGACTGTTGCTTATTCCAAAGAAGTGACTTAACATATACTTGGTGCTGATTTCACTCAGCTGCAGCACTTGTGCATGTAGAGAACTGCACGTCTAACTAGAAAGTTACTTTGCATAACAGCAGTGTTTTGTATAGGAACTCTTCTATTGATAGCATTCTGTATTTTCTATGAGATTGCCAAATGATTTATGGAATTTCAAAGGAAAGAGAGTGGTATGGGAATAAATCAAGAGCTCAGCACCTTTAAACTTCTAATAGTGTCTGTTCCTGTTCAGATTGAAGATGAGTAAAACTGTCCTTGGTTCCAGTGTGGGGAAAAAAAATCAAACCCTGTACAGATTCTTTAGGCTGCATTTAAGAAAACCACTTAGACTCTATTTGAATGGAAAGAATATGCAGCAGTAATAATTCTTCTGGAAAAAAAAAAACCAAAACTGAATTATCAGATTTTAAAGTGGTCTTATCAAATAAAGTTGAAAAATAATGTCAATGTACTTGTAGTGTGCTACAATGCAAATTCTAACTAAATTGCAAAGTTTATCTAATATGTGCTTTTTCTGCATACTTTATTTGACCCTCACCATTTACCATCGTAGAGGAAGTTTATAGGAGAAGGCTAAAAGAAAAACGTAAGCCTTGCAATTCACTCTTGGCTTTATCTCACTGTTCCTTTTACACAAATCATAACTCAGATGCATTCTGCAGCAATAATTCAATGTTTGTTTAGATTTGGCTGTCAAATTGTAATACATGTGAGACATTGCTTTCATTGCTTGTGGCAAGCAGACAGCTACTTGCCCTTTTTAGTAAGATTTCATTTCAGAAAAAATAGAGGTTCACAAATCAGAGAGGTGGACTTCAAAGGGACTTTGTTAAGGTTAACAGAGCCAAAACTTAACCTTTGCCTCTTTTTATTTGTACATATGTACAATTGATATAATATCTGGAAAAATAGCTTTGTTTGAAAGCATCTTTCCTTAGAGGGGAAGGATTTGGGCTTTTTTTTTTTTTTTAATCAGAGCAGTAAATTAAATGAAAAATGCAGTCTGAATAAAAATGTTTCCATACTTGATGATGGTATAAATATCATGAGTAAAGTTTGCTTCAGTGTGCTTAAAAATACCTTGACAACAGTTCTTTTTGAAGTCTATTATTTATAAAAAGGAATTAGTAGGACTGTGATTTTAATGGCTTTTTTTAAGTCTTCAATTGCTTGCCTAATACCTGCTGGCTTTAGTTTTTGATTTGGCTCTGTGTGTGTATGTCTTGTGTTAGTAAGTGTTCTCTTTTGCAGAGGAAATGTTTGCAAGATTAATTTACATGTTTTAAAACTTAATCATTACTGTGTATTTTTCAGAATCACTACAGAAAATCTAATAACTGTTTTTGCAAATAACTGTGACATTGTATGTTCAACATCAAGTTGTAAACCAATTTTTAAAAGATGCTCTTTAGCAGTATTGATTTTCTTTCTTCTCTGACTTCATGCCTGCTGCATCTGGTTTTCATCGTCTTTTGTGAAACAAGTGGCTCTATTTTATGTCAAAGCACAAATACCATGAGTGGCAGTTACAACAGATACACTATTTCAGGTTCCGTTTCCATCATCTACACTCAATTTAGTATAGGTTGGTACGGGAGGACTCGCTAGGAATAGTGTGTAGAGGAGAAATAACATTTAGTTCACAAAGTTAGGATGATTGTGATAATCTTACAAATTTTCAGAGAGTGTGTTTGAATTGATTTGACTATAACAGTCCTGAATAACCTCTATCTTGTGACACTAAATTGTGTGCAAGGCACTTGACAGCAATTCATTAGCTCTTGATGTAGATTTTAACTTATTCATACTGAAAAGCTTTAAGAAAGTTTAAAAAAAACACAAAAACCCAACACATTTTCTTCATATCAAACTAGTTATTTTGCATTTCCAAGCTACATGAATGTCCTTGAACTACTTCCCATAAGGTGGCAAATATTTTTCTCAGAATGTAATTAATTTTCAATGATACTTCATTTACTTAAATATATAACAGCAAACACACTCTCATCTTTCGCAAAATAAGCTTCAGCGTTTCTTTTTTTTCTTGTCATTATTTGACTTTAGTAAATATAAGATAGTACTGAATAGCCTTTTATAAGCAAAACCAGCACGTTTTCATTCTGCAGTGCTTTCAATAGGTCAGCTTTTAAAAAACTCCAAGTTAAATGTAGTTTGATAGTGCGTTTGCCATGCCACTGACATGATTTGGTTACTCATAAGAAGATAACGAAAGTATCGGAAAACACTTATTGTTTACACAAAAGTAGCAAGGGTATTTTCCTTTATAACATTTTCAAAACATTTTTAGATCAAGAAGTTCAAAGGTTGAAGATAGGAATGGAATCGTTACTGGCTGCAAATGAGGAAAAGGTGAGAAAGTAATCCTCATTCTACATAATAAGAATGAAATGGTGGTTTTAAATCTCTGAAATGTTCTGAATAACCTACTTTGTGTAAGCTTGGTATTGCCCTGATTTTTGGATTATCCCATGAGATTGTGACAGGAGGTTGATTTTTAAATAGAAAGTGTGGCTGACCTTGCTAACCTGGCTGCAGAGCTTGGAAGGCTCATTAGATTCCAGAGGTGAGTAGAAAGCCAAGACTGCAATGAGCAGAATCTCCTGGCTTCTGCTATTGAAAAGGTCATTAAGGTTTGGCCATCTCTGATAGCTCTTCATCTTCCAACACAATCTGAAGTTTATTGGTATCCCCAGTCTAGATTTTTATATTAAAAGAAAATCAAAGTGGTCTTTGAATCAGGCTCAAATTTTGGAAGGGACCTGAATTTAGAGAGACAAGGATAAAAAAAATGAAGATTACTAAAGGCCAGGAGACATGAAATTAAACCTATTTAAATGGTAAATATGTTTTTTGTCTCATCACTTTTTGTCTCTGTATATTGTCATCATCAAATAGATGATAATATGCATCCCTAAAAACTTTCTTTAGTAACTAGGGAATCTGAACAAGGCAGTGTTGATTCTGGAGAACATTAATATGACTCATAACAACATTCAATTCATAAAAAATCAAAAAGCCAAAATTTACATCTGGAAAATCAAAGACGTGTCAGTGCAGCAGCTCGGTGTCAGCTGTTCACTTAAATACGTGGCAGGTGCCAGCTTCCCCACAAGGTTTTTATTTTTTTTTCCTAGTGCCCACTTCTCTGCTTTTGTGGCTTTCCTGAACCTTCTTGTGAAAACTCGTTCTTTATTACTTGCTTGGGTTTGCATTTGGTGCTCTGTTACCACAGCACTGGGCAAGATTATCACACAGGAATGGTTTAGAACTGTGGTCAAAGAAACAGGACAAATTCTAAGAGTACAAATTTCAAAATTGCACGCTTAGTGATGATAGCAAGAACTTATCATTGGGACACAGTATAGTATATAGAAATGTCTAACTAAATGATTACTACCCGTCCCTGTGTTACAGCTGCAAAAGGCAAGCACCTTCCCTGAATACATTAATCAGGATGCTATATACATAATAGGAAAGCATTAGGTGCTGGAGAAAGAGTGGAGTTGGATAAATGAAGCAGACATTCACGAGACCTCATTTCCTTGGTTCTATACAAGTTTGACTGCCTAAGTCAAAACCAACAAGTTTGGCTCCCTAAGTTCAAAGAGGTGTGTTCAAAACAGGAATAAGTGTAGAGGTCAGAATGCAGTACATATCCTACAAGTGAATTCTAAAGAATGTGACTAGGTTGTTAACCTAAAACATAAACATGATTTACTTTGCAATTACAGGTACAGTGCTAGCAAAAACCCAAACACTGCCCACTTCAGGCCATTGGGGTTCAACTCCAGAGTATTCCCTTGACTTAGAAGTGAAAGCAGATTTCCAAATTATGCTTCTCTAAATAGCTACTTTACTAATAATGTCAAACTCCTCAGGTTTCCCTATATCCATAATTTCACACTGTACAGAAAATACTATGTACAATGGCAGATAAAAGCTAATGAATGTTCTTTACAAGGCACGTGAGAGACTTGATCCTGCTTTCTGGAAAAACAGTCCAAAATCACAGAATGAAATGTGTAATAGAGTGTTTCTGCTGGTTTAAAATGTCAGATTTAAAATAGGATTTTATTTAATGCTTCTCACAGGACCGTCGAATAGAAGAGTTAACACTGTTGCTAAGCCAGTACAGGAGGGTCAAAGAGATAATGATTGCAGCTCACGGTAAAATGTCTTGTGAATAATTTCCTGATATCAGGTATTTTTCAAACTGCATGCACTAAAACTGCTGTTTGTTGTTGTTTTCAATGTATGTGCATAGTAATATTCGCATATGTATTGTGCTGGAGTGCTAAGAAAGTAAGTATACAGTCCTTCAGGTGAAGAAAAAAACCACAGCATGTCTTGACCAGGCTTGTGTGTTACTGCCTGTAGTGTGTGGAGATTTCTTTTTTGTTTTCTATACTGTAGGCAGTGCAAAAAAAGAAATAGGGTCTATAATATATGGGAGATTTAGTTGCAACATTACTATTAAGCAAGACTTCTATGACTGAATCTTATGCTCGACTCTGTAAATCATAATCTAAAATTTAAGTTAATAGTAAATCCCTCTTTGAAGCTGAACTTTGGTGCTATGTGGTTTTTAAGAGAGTGTCATTAAGGATCCTGACTGATAAGGAAGGATGACTGATGAGCTTACTGCTATGGTTGTACAGCTGTGTGACCTGCTCATCAGTTAGGTCTAAAGACTGTGGTTCACCTCCTCATGTGCCAAGGCAATCTGAAGTCAGCAACTGCTCTTCTTAGAATGCTTTGCTATATACTGCAGTGGGGCAGGAGCTTTGGTGGCAGAACTCCTATATCTGTGTAGTGGTGGCTGTGGGTGGACAGCTGGGGCCAGCTACTTCATGCAGTCCTTCCCCTCCTCACTGATGGGACTCCTGTAGGTCTCTTCCACAGTGCAGACCTATGATGTATGTCTTTCATGCTCAAAGCTTCCTAATTCCTTTTTCACTGCTTCAGGTTGCTACTTCTTGGTTGTACATGGGTTGTAGAGGCCAGACCAAAAGGAATTATAGCAAAAAGTGTTAAATGAGGGAGAAAACAGCAGGACACTAGTGCAGGCATAGAATTTGTTGACACAGGGGCAGTTAGGAAAGTTCATTTAAATTTGCTAAAAGCATAAATTTACAGTATTTATATTAAATTGCATTATAGCCCTCTCAATCTATTATTCAAAATTAAAATTATATTCAGTTTTATTTAAATGATTTACTCTGTAGGAGATGAATAAAGTATACAGATAAGTATGTATGGTATTTCCTGTGATCTGTCATTAGTAACTGCCTTTTACAGTGTAAAATGGTATCAGGAGAATTTAGCAGATTACAAACATTAATCTATTGAATACATCCTGTATTCAGATTAGTCATAGCTCAGTTCAGGAATGGCAGTAATGATTAACTACGAGCCAGCTAGTGTTAATGACAAAGTTTTCCTTTTATGTCCTATTTTTTTATATGGCATTCATGAAAAGGAAGCTGATCTCAGATGCAATTTGATGCATAGGAGGACCTTCCACCCCCCTTGCAAAAAAAAACCCAAAAGTTGCAATGAGTATAATAAGTTCTCTTGCACTTTCCTTCCACTAAGAAAAATTCTGACAGCTGACTAGAAAAGTTCTGGTGTGCAGGAAGCAACTGAAAACCCAAAGTTGTTTTGGTGCACACAATATTATATATTTAACTTCAAAATCTGGGGAAAAAAATCTTTGTCCCATTTCACTTCCTGCAGCATAACTGAGGAGTAGGTTTTTAGGACAATCTTGTTTGAAGTTGCCAATGTAGTTTTCAGTACTAAAATTATTCTGGGAGACCTTCAGAAAGGACAGTTTTGTTAAACGTACATCATCACATTAACAAACACGATGTTTTCAGGTCTTGTACGCCAGAATGGACACTTGTATTTAACACACAAGAACAGGGAACGAGAGTCAGGTAAATCTCTCTCTGAATGTTCTTTTTAAAAAGAAAGTCTCTCACTTGAAAGTGTTTTGAAGGGAAATCCAAAGGTGTGATTGTAGCTTTTGGAGACCTCATGATGTTAACCGCCAAGATAACTCACCACTGTTACCCTGAGAGTAGGTGCTCTCAGCAGAAAGCCCCAGTAACATCATGGGACATGGCTTTTGGAGGACACTTGTGTGCATGAGCAATGAGCAAGTCATGATGCTCTGGATTGTCAAGTTGGTACTGCAGGGAGTATGATGTATGCTAGTATAATCAATGTATGCTAGTTCAGTACAGTCTAATGTCTAAAAAAAAACCGGTAATGCTTAGCATAATAAAACAAAACCAAACCCCCAAACCTGTGTAGGTAGTAGAGTGTGTAAGAGACTGTCCACACTGAGGTGCATGCTGTCATGGCTACAATATTACCACAGCCCAAATGGGCTTGTTACCTGACATGTGCTTGAAGGAGTCTCATATTTAGGGTGCTAAGAAATATCTCGCTTGATTATTTTTTTATTATTATTATTTCTAGACGTGTATTTTAAAGGTTCCTTTTGATGTGTAATCTCTGCCGAAAATCCTTGGTAGAATCAGAGGGTTGAAATCTTCTGTCTCTGATAACTGTTTCTAATCATTATCTGGGATTAAAGTAGGGTGACTGCTTGAAACAGCCACAGAAAGTTGAGCAAAATATAAAGGAGCTACCCTGAACTTGACTGTAGGTCGCTCTTTTGTGTACCAGCAGCCATAGCATAAGTTTCACTCCATATCCTGGAGGGCCAGCAATCAGTATGGGTTTTGTTGCCAGTCTTCTTAACCGAACAGCATGATACCTGGTCTCTAATGAGTTTTCAAGTGATCTCTCTGCTAATAGTGCCAAGGCTTAACCATAAGATTTGGTGTGTTTTGAAACTGCCTAGACCCGCTGCACTTCTATCATATAAAGTAGGAATTGTTAATATGCTTAAAGGTCAGTCTGAATTCCTCCATCATGGCATAGCAGCCCTTCCACATCCTGTTTGCAATCCTATGCATGGAGAGCTCCAGAAAAAAATTCTTATCCAAAATACTCCAAAACTTTGCTGAGCCCTGGATATTCAAAACCTGATTTAGTATTGCAGCTTTGGCAATTCAGGAATTGAAGTCCTACTAAATAATGAATTTGGAGTATTTCAGTGTCTGTTTAGATCTGGGATATCCAGAAAAACCCGAGGCATGTTTACTGTGTACATCCTTGAACAGAGCATGGGGCATTGTATTATGATACAGACATGCACACTACCTATAAAGCAATACACTACGAGTAAGAAAATAGTGCCAACTTGAACTTGCCTCAGAACATCAAACTGTGTATTAGAGTGGTTCAGAAGCTGCCTCAATCAGCTCAGCTACTTACAGCAGAGCCTGTCATATAACTAGAAGTGGTAAATTTGTTGCTGTTATAAATCAGCTTGCTTGTAAATCAGGGGTGGGGAGTGAGAGGCTGGAAAGCTACATGCATCAGGTGAAGGCTGAAGGGGAATTGTGAGACTGAAATACATAGACTGTCTGATATGGTCCTAAAATGTTATTTTTTGGCCTGTTTCTCTCCCTTTCTACTTCTAATCTTTAATGGTCGCAGGCTCTTCTGTCTCTGGTGGCTGTGAAGAGGAACTTGAGACAACTTTAAGGAAGTGGAATGTTTTGACTAATCCTCAAGGAGAATTACTGAAAACAGAGGTACTTAGTAAAGATGTTTTAGAAGCAAATTCTATATATATGATTTGTTTGCTTTGGTTTCTCTGTGGTAGCTAAAGTAATGTAGTAATGTGGGTTTAGCCTTGCCTGAATTTTTGTATGTGTTCTTTGTATAGGCATGATAGATCCAGAATCCAGCTCTAGAGTTACAGGCTTTATTTTACATAAATGTAAATTTATGTATGTTTTATTTTACATAGGCATCTTCAGGAGAATTATCACCAGCTGTGCTGTCTCCATCACCACAGAAAGCTACGGAAATCAGGCAAGAGCTTTATTTTTTGTGTGTTTTATGTGGATTGTCCTAAATTTGAATTATTTAATCTGATTAACTGGCATGTTGTGTTCCCTGTTCTTGGCTTTGCAAGAACTTTTGGGTAGTTGTGAAAGCAGGGTTTGCTGTGGGAGTTTGCAGTACTTAATTGTGTAAGGTCTGAATTGCAGGAATAAATTAGCACTTTTATATATCCAAAGATACTTGTAGTACTTAAAACAGTATGTTTTATTCTGATTTGAAGTGGAAGCATTCCAGTATCTTCAACTAATTTAACCTGTCCACAAGAAGAATCTCTGGAAATCATCAGCAGGTAAGAATGAGTAACTTTAATTGAAATGTATAAAAAAAAATTCTGGCTGCATGTTATATCTATATTTCTGCCCTTCTCCAGTTTTAAAACCCTTCAATGTTGCACACTGTTCACAGAGTCACTACTGTCTGTGTACTGTTAAGAGCCTTTAAAAAGTCAGCTGTAGATAAAAGGTTTAAAACTGCACATTGTTGCCTTTCTTTGTTGACCAAAGGATGTCTTGATGCTCTTTCTGATTTTGTTTATTGCCATTCCCAATACCATGTGTTTTAGGCTAAAAATGCAACAACTGAATCTCCTAGCTCAGCATTATGTTATACGCAGACATACGATATATATGGCTGCCATATGATACAGTAGGGGCATATGCAAACATACTGTGCTGTACCAACTATTGCTTTTTTTTGCCTGTTACTATTTTAAGGGTTCCACAGAAAAAAAAGTCAAGTAGTTTAGAAGACTTGCAGAGCGAATCCCTGGAAAAGGTTGGTTTATTTACAGTAATGATTTCTGGTGTTGTCATGACTGAAAGGTAAAGGTCAAGTATAAATGTTATTTTTGTTTCACGTACAGTAGCCCTAACCACCACTGACATTGTATGTGGGGGAAAAAGCCCTCATGATCAAACAGTTCAGGTTGGGGTTTTTTTTACCCCATATTCAAGCTTAGAATAAACAAACAAGTTGACACACCATACATACGCATCCTCAGATTGACACACCATACATACGCATCCTCAAATTCAGCTTTTCACCTGAAAGAGAAGACGAATACTTAAGAGAAATACAAGAAATAATGAGGAGTCTTTTGCAGTAGTATTTTGTTTATAGGTAAGAGTTTTAAAAATAATTTCAACTTCCAAATAGTTAAAAATGTTAAGGCAACAAATGCTGAAAGTAATTAATGACTGGGACAGGGTATTTCCACATAGGATTGAATTTTTGAGTGTTTGCATGTAAATATTGAGTATCATTCCCTAACTCAGATTTCTGATATAAATGGCATTCCTGAAGACGGCAGTGATGCTGTCTTGGTTAAAACAGGAGGGGCGCTGTTATTAATTCAAGGGCTTACTTCCATTCCAAAATAATGAGTCTCCAATTTAAAAAGTCTCATTACGTTATGGTCCAGAGGTTTGTTTTGTCATTCTCTAACCCGAAATTTCTCTGCACTTGTAATTATGCGTTGAGACTGTTATTGATTCTGTCTGTACTCAAATTAGGCTTAATACTGGATTACCCACACCCAGTAATGCCATTTAAAACAGATACTAGAATGATGGTTGTTTCAGTTCTTAAAATTCTTAATTTTTTCTTAAATCTGTGAAGATGACAGTAACCAAAGGGAATGCTTGAAATTTGTGTTGCATCCATTTGATTGTGGTTATACATGTGACAGATCAGTTCAGAACTAACATTCATTCCATGTGGAATTTATGAAGGTCTGTTTTCTCTTCCTAACTTTTATTTTCCTGTCAGCATTCAAAAAATTAATTTGTCTCTGTGCCGTGGTGTGATAAGGCTGTACCTACGCATTTAGGCTGTAAAGCTGCTCTGTCGGTTAAATCACAGTCCATCGGGGAGCAAGAAACTACCAAGGATATGAGAGAATTGTAGCAAGCCAGCCCACATTCTAATTTAGGCATGAGGCTTCTTGGTGAAATAACTGAGACCTCCCTGTGCCTAGGAGTGAGTGGCTAAATGTGAATTAGTTACAACCACAAGAAGAAACTTGTTTTGCTGACTCAGCGAGACTTCTCGCTTCCTTGCATTAAATCCAAGAGAACATGTGCAAGCAGCACTGCTTACTGGAGCTGTTCTGTTTTGCACAAAGCTCAAATTGCAGTTATGTAGAGCAATGAAAATGTAAATTAAAGTAAAATAAAGTAAAATACAGCACACTGGTGTCTCTGACCAGCCATGTCATATATTCTTATCCCCTCTTTTCTATCTCAGCTCTTTATGGTTTCCATACATAAAGTATTGCGTTTGTTCTTTCTATCATTCGTTTTCGTATTGTTTGAACTGTTAAACAGCTGTCATGTTCCCACCTGAAAGTTAAGTCTAGAGGAATCACCCAGAAGCCTAAAATGTAGAAAAATTCCTTTGCTCACAACAGAACCAGCCCGAATTTTGTAGAGTGGTTTGAACAACCACATTTAATATTTAAATATATTATTGAAATGAAATGAAGAGATAACAGACCTTGTAATATGCTGGCAATGCATTAAGTAGCATCACTATAGCAAAAAGACTACAATTGATGTTCTGTGTATGTATGCTAATACTAACATTTGTCTGTTGCTTTTTTTTCCATAAAACTTTGAAATTACCCTCCCTGCAACTCCATAGTTTGTAGATGGAAAACCAGTACAGCGTGTTGTAGAACAAGAGGTATATTAACTGTCAACTCTCTTAACATTTGTCTGTTGTGGCGTGCTGTGACGGTATGCTGTTTTAATTTTATGTTCATTTTACTTTTTAAAACGTTTGCATAGTTCCAGTACTGACAGACTCTGAGAACAGGGGTAAGAATTTGAGAGGGAACTCTTCTTTTTAATCTAAAAGCTTTTATGTTTGGCTAGAAGCTGAAGTCAGGCAATTTCAGAAAATACCGGGCTAATGTAAGAAGCAGTTTCTGTACTTGTATAGTTTTTGTTACAAGTCAGGATGTACTCCTGAAGCTGCCAAAACAGGAGAACTGAGGCCTGCAATTACAGCATCACAAAGATTCCTCTAAGCCTGGAAAAAAGAATAGATAAACAAGTGGTTATCTGTTTAAATATTTCATATATCATCCTTTCCTGGACAATGTTTTAAATGGTTTAAAACAATTATGTTAGAATGGGGTTACTAAGTAGAAGCATAGTCTGTGTTTCTGTATACTAAGTATGTTTTGAGTATTTTCAGTTCAAAGTTATCCTCCTTTCTGATACTGAACCATTTACCAGTATGAGCTTATTCCAAACACACACTGAATGTACACCACTCCCACTGACCTTGACTGGAGCTGCAGGTTCAGTGCTCTTCTGGAAAAACTTCTGTATCACTATTGCTTTGACAGTTGTGGGATGTATCTTTTAATTTGGATTCAGTATTGGAAAAGTCTCTCAATGCTGTTACATATCTCGTTAGGCTCAGAACTCCCAGATTTATGTGCAAGTTCTCATCTACCCTGGTACAAGGATCAAGATCCCAAGTAACTGATCACTGAAAAACTGAATGCAAGGAAAATTGAGATATTCTTTTTTTAGCAAAGCCTACATACCAGTTCCCCTTACATATGATATGCTGAGGCTTTGAGGACCACCCCCTGGGAGCTGTGTGACTGGGGGAAGGTCCTTCCAACATAAGTAATCTCACTGATGCTAGTAGCACTGTGTTTGTGTACCTACAATACATGAAGGCAAGCACATGTTAGACACTTATTTTAGCCTGACATGGACAAAAGGGTCAGTGAGCAGCCATTCAGACTAGCCCTAAAATACAGCTCAGCCTATGTTTTTATCAAATATCAAAAGTATCCCTTGTGCTTAGGTTCTATAATAAATTATGTATTTAGCTATATATTTGGCAACTATAGCTTTAACTATTTTTTATCTATACAGAGAGATCTTGGTTCTTACAAGAGTTAAATTTCTGTACCCCAGCTTCATTGTTGATTCTTTTGCCATTGTTAGTGGTGGTGGGCAAAAGTATTTGACAGAATTTGAGTTGCACAAATACTTTTTTTTGGCTTAAATTCCAGCAAGATACAATTGTGAGGCAGAAACAGACAGTTTGGTGAAAAAGAGGGGTAATAATTGATAGGACAAAGAATGATCTGAGAAGTGACTAAATGCATTTCTGGCACTATCAAAGTGGAAGGACCAAGGTATTATATATAGTGTTGGGTCCTTATGATGAAACCAGGTAACATTCAACATATATTGTATATTGTAATAGACAGTCTGGCTGAAGGGGGGGAGAGAGGCAGATGGGGGAAGAGAAGGCAGTGTCTTAGCAAGAAAACGGCCAAGTAACTGAGATTCAACATGAGTGACCTGTAAGCAGGAACGTGGAGTGGATGATGCCATTTTGGGTTCAAGTACTTTTTCCTCAACTTTTAAATTCCTGTGTACTGGATTGCGAATGCTGTGATTTGATTCTGTACTTACTTATTTTTCCCTCTTTAAAAAACAACAGAGTAAGCCGCTTGCAAAAGGCAGCAAGTACCAAACCTTGCCAGGGAAGCTGCCTCGACCCCTGCAGAATGGAGAGCAGGGAACATGTAATTCATCAGATGGGTCTGCTGTGAACGACTCTGAGGACAGCAGCTTTCTGGGCCTGAGTATGTATCTACACCTTGCTGAGAGGGGGAAAAGCAAACTGACTGGGAAGCTAGGACATAATATGGTGTATAATCTGCTATACCAGAACAGTAAACTGTGACCTTCAGGTGATGTACTTAAGGAAAGTTCTACTTCTTTTTTGTACCTAATATATACCACATCAGCTTACTTGGAGGTTAAAGGATGGCTTAAATTTAGAATGTTCTTTTCTGTTGCACTTGATGTTAGAATTTGCTGACATCATTAATAGCATAAGTAATGAAGAGACACTGACTGCTTTGGAGATTGTGGGGAGAGCATTCTGAAAGACAACATATCTGTAACTAAGAAATGGAAATTCTAGAGATGCAAATATATTAGCAACATGAATAAGCAGTGTTTTTTTTCCATCACACTTCCAATGCTCCCCTGAGCTTGCTGACATTTTCTTAAAAAGCAAGCAAACACAAATGCAGAGCCAGGCACACCATCAATCCTTTTAACAAATGTATGTTACATTGATGGATTAAGTGAAACAAACCAACCCATGCCCTGCGATTCTGCTGCCTTTCAGTGGGTGAAACTTCACAGTATATCTAGCACTGACGTGCACATTTCAGGCAAAAATCCCAGTGTCTGCACTGTTGGTTGCTGGAACTTGTGGGGACCCACAAGTGAAGAACTGACTTAGTAGGTATAGGAAATCATGGGCGGATTTTCGAAATGCAAGTATATTGTTAGTTCACAACCACAGCTGTGTGTGGAAGCCTGTGTTAATTTGTTTTCATTGACATCTTGAGCATGGATATATTGCAATATAGAAAGTATTACAGCAAGGTAGAGAGCCAGGTATTTATTTGCCAAGGGCTGAAGAACACAAGAGCATCACTTGTGATTTTGAAGTTTGTCTACACTTTAAAAATTATGCTGGCAGCTTTTTGTTTGCTGGGTTTTATTTAAGGCCCCATGGTCCTAAAAGCTGCCAGGGCCTGTAGGTTCAAGATTGCAATAGGCTGTGGGCTGTTTAGGGTTTGTTTGAAAGGGTTTTTTCTGTGATTGCAACATCGTAGGCAATGCAGGAGCCATGCTACTATATCTTTAACAGCAGTATTATCCATTAACATTTTTTTTATGCAGGTTGGTTTGTTTCTTGCATGTGAAGCAAACCTTTAAACCTCTAATTCTGTATTTCAGAGGAATTTGGTGTAACCTTAGACATTGCTTCATTTCAGACATTCTGCAGGTTTTGTGGAGCTCTGTAGGTCATGCTTAATGCATTAAAATTGTCTCAGAATAGTTCATAAAAAAAAAACTCCACAAACAACAGATAAATGATCATCCCTATCTATTCTAGGTGATCGTACAGAATTACTGGTGCTTGTGCACACCGATGCGTATTCAGTTCCACATCAAGCAGCATAACTGCTTCTTTTCGTTTCTGCTTTTAATGCTTAGCTGACTTCTTTGCTCTTCTGTAACTTTATTTTGCTGGTGTTTTGTATCTTCTTTGCTTCTTCATCTGGCTTTCTGCTTCTTGGGATGACTGAAGATCGCATCAGGAGTGTCAGTGCACCAGTGCTAGGTACCGTATCCAAACAAGATGCAACTTTAATGTGAATTAAAGTTGATGTGAATTTTGCTGCTTGCTTTTTTCCTTTCCTCTTCCCTTTCTCTATGAAATAGTAACACCACGTGGGCCATCCACACTGAATTCCTGAAGTGCAGTGCTGAATGGAAGTAACAGTTTTTGCTGCATTGCAGTTGGATGGGATTTCTTTTTAAGATACTTATTCCTGCTTTCATTCTGTTCTCACTGAAGTTGACAGAAAAATTCCAACTTTGATGGAGGAGTTACGGTGTTAAGAATAGGCAAAGCAAGAGTCTGAAGAGCCTGCTTCAGTCTGAAGACCTTAAATTAATAAAAATGATGGAATTAAGTACAAACAACTGAACTAACAATACTGGTGTACAATATTTTATTACTTTCTGTTTGTATCAAATATACAGGCTATGTTTTTTCACCTTCTGAGCATGGGGCTTTTATACATGAAGTTTTCTAGAAGTCTTTCCTTTTTTGTGTTCTGCATTTAAACGTTAGTTTGCCAGATAACAACTTTGTTAACAGTCTGTATAAAATGTTTATATATATTGCTGTTCTTAACCCAGGAGACACAGAGAACGTGGATGGTACAGTGGTCTCAGATGACCTTTCACCTCTTTCTTCGGGAACGGATTCAAGCCCACAATCTCCATTGTCGCCAGAAAACAGAAAGAGTCCAAAAGGGATCAAGAAAATCTGGGGAAAGTACGGTCATTTTTTCTTTTAGTTCCATGTAAAAGCATTTTGGCTGAGAATGAATACAGTTCTCGGCAAGAGCTGCAAAAGTAAGATTTAGGAACAGGAGAGAAGGCAGCTGTGTGATTGTACCAGTGTGTCTCTGTGTACATGTGGGTGGTAGTGTCTTCAACATTGTGCTGTTGAAGAAATAAGCTGTCATCTTAATGCTAATAATTTAATACGCCACCAGTTTCATTAGCTATGAGAAATTAAATTAAGTTGTTCATTACAGAAAGCATTGGGCAAAAAAATGAGAGAGAACAGAAGAAACAAATAGCAGGGGGACTGAGGGTTACTGTGTTCAATTTTCCTGCTTCAGGACAGCAGACAGTTATTTACAGGTCTGGCTTGCAGGGTGGATCAGTAACTGGATTTAAAAATCAGATGGCTGCTCTGCAGAGCTCTTTTATTTCCTCAGAGTTAGGTCTAGACAGGGTTTGCCTGAATTTCTGCATCTACCATGTGAACTGGGTGGTTGTGGTTTACAGGGAGATTAATACAACTTCTAGTTGTCACTATAGTTTCCATACAACCAAATGTTCTCTGTTGCAAGCTAATACTACTGTTGTGGCACTCTTGTCTTGAAAGAATAAGAAGAACTCAGTCAGGTAACTTCCCTGCAGACGACCTGGGGTTGGCAGAGTTTCGAAGAGGTGGCCTCCGTGCAACAGCTGGGCCTCGGTTGTCCAGATCAAAGGAAACCAAAGGCCAGAAAAGGTAATGGTTCCTCTTTGCCTCTCACAGCATATCACGTGGTATTCTTAAATGTGCTCAACAGCCAGACCCTGCCCTTGTGAAACACGTTTTTCCCAATGTGCTTCATTACACAACCGGAAAGAATTTGTTTGGTAGAAAATGCATCCTGAGTCACTCCCCATCTGTGCTCCTTCAGCTGCAGGTTGCAGCGCTAGCTGCTGTTAGAGTGTCAAAAAATACACCTTGGCAAAGAACAAGAAAACTAATTTGTCATCATCTCCTGTGGGAATATCTGTAAAGTGCTCAGGATTCAGCAATTCCAATTCTTTTCAAATAGAAATTTACTGCCCGCCCCCCCCCCCCCCCCCCCCGTCATTCACAGGCTGAGGCTGAGCAGGCAGATTAACAGGACACTAGTACCACAACCCATGCTGTGAGAGTGGCTGTTGGCTTTCAGTACTGCACAAGCCAAAGCACGGTAACAAACATGTGCTGCAGTACTGCCCCTGGCACACAATCAGCTTTCTGACACTAACTATTACCCTGTTCTTCAAGATTTTCCACACATTTCTTGTGCTTTTCAGTGACTACAATGCTCCATTTGCTCAGTGGAGCACTGAAAGAGTTTGTAACTGGCTTGAGGACTTCGGTCTTGGTCAGTACGTCATATTTGCACGGCAGTGGGTGACTTCAGGCCATATGCTGTTGACTGCGACACCTCAGGACATGGAAAAGGTAATATTCTATAACTGTTTCCCTCTAGCAGCCATACATATTGATTCTGTACAACCAGGCTTCTTCAAACAATTGGCAGCTTTACCGTATCGATATGTAGTATCAATAGTTGTAGATACCTAATGAGATGAAAAGAGCAAGAGACAAGGCAAAATATTTGTTAATGGTTATTATTGCAGGAAATGGGAATAAAGCATCCACTGCACAGGAAGAAATTAGTTTTGGCCATTAAATCAATAAATGCAAAACAAGATGAGAAGTCTGCACAGCTTGATCATATCTGGGTGACACGTAAGTGTTTGAACTGGACTGGTTTGGAAAGCAATTTCCCTCACACCTACTGAAGGGCTGCCCAGTATGTGTTTAAGTAGTTACCAGGTATCTTTTTAAGAGCACAGAGTTTTAACATGGTAGAATGATTCTGTGTTGTTTTTGACATCCAAATATACAGCCCTACAGTACAATCTTCCAAGGGGAACTCTGTCACTAGATTGAGCCCCCACATTTACTTCCCTGCAATCTCTCACACACTGTATGTAGAATATCATGGGGGTATTGTGGATGGAACTGTTTGATGGGAATGCTTTCAGGCTTCTGGGGAGAGGCTGATCTTTGGAAGGGTGAACAGGTAGAAGGAGCTAACTGAATGCCTCAGAAGAAGCCAGCCAAGACAGGAAGGGGAGAAGGGCTTCATTCTCCCTTATCTGGATTTGGGTACACTGTTGTTCCTCTACCTGCAGGATGGCTCGATGACATTGGTTTACCTCAGTACAAAGACCAGTTTCATGAAGCCAGAGTGGATGGGAGAATGTTGCAGTACTTAACTGTGGTAAGCTAAAAATCCTTTTTCCCTCAGTTTAACCAAATTTAACTTCAGAATAAGCAAAGAACTTTACAATTTTCCTTTGAATGTGAGCACTTAAAGAATTTTTTGCAAGATGGAAATAGTGCCGGTAGTAGCTCATTTGTGTTGTCTGATGCATAATTACTGTTCCTAAGGTACACAAAATAAGTCAAAGGATATGCTACAGCTAACTTCCAGAGTCTTTCTTTCAGTGCCATGTATCACACCATGATTACAGGTAAAAATGACTTATTTTACATGCAGCTTCAGGAGTTCATTGTTCTCCTCACCAAGTCAGTTACCAATATTAAATAACCTAAAGATAAGCAGCAAATCCAGTAAATGGTACAGCTCCAATCACATGAGCAGCACCACACATATCCAGTGTTTTCTTACAGCTGGTAATTGTTTTTGTTAATTGTGCTATGAAAAAAAATGCCTAATATAGCTGTTTTCAGAAGTACAGCCTTGTCTCTACGTAAAACTACATAGCAAGCTTAATGTCTTTCTTCCTGGGGAAAGTACCTGTCCTGGTATGTATTCTTTGCCACTTAAAGGGCTCTCCCCTTCACAGAACGACCTTCTCTTTCTGAAAGTCACCAGTCAGCTGCATCACCTGAGTATTAAATGTGCCATTCATGTGCTGCACATCAATGGTTTCAACCCCCACTGTCTACGCAGGAGACCAGTTGAAGAGGTAAGAGTGCAAGGATACAGTAGGATCACTGCTAATAGGGAGTTGCGCCTAAAGCAGTAGTTATGCTGCTTGCTTTCCCGCTCCGGAATGTAACATGTACTCACCAATAATAGAATCTCAGAATCATAGAACAGTTAGGGTTGGAAAGGACCTTAAGACCATCTAGTTCCAACCCCCCTCCCATGGGCCTGGACACCTCACACTAAACCATGCCACCCAAGGCTCCGTCCAACCTGGCCTTGAACACCGCCAGGGATGAGGCATTAAGAAAAATCTACTCAGTCCTGAAGTGCTTGAGCCACTTACTAGCTGATCTCATGCACTTCCCTTGATAAATCATTGTTTAGAAGTTAATTCAACTTCTGAGATAGATCGTAATTTGGAATGTTTTTTCTTTGCCTCTCCTAATTTTTAACTCTCAAAGACTGTAAGGTTTTTGCCTTACCTGGTCAGTCGTATTCATTTTGTATTAAAACCTGACAATAAGTCAGCGTAATTTGTTCATTTAGTATTAAAGCCTGACAATAATATTGTGCTCAAAATGCTCCCTTTTTTATACTTGGTGTCTGTGGTCTCTACTGTTATATTACTTGATGCAATGTATGGGGCTTCAGCTTGATCCAGAACAATACCTTAGAATCTAGGGAAAAAAAACACTGCTCTTTCTTTGAAGGAGAGAAGGAGCAATGGTTTTATCTGAACTAAGGGCACATGTTGTGAATGCGCAGTGATAATACAGGCTACAGTGTCATCATGACCTCTGGTTACTTCAGCAGAGTAACGGTTCACCATCTGAAGTTGTTCAGTGGTCCAACCACAGAGTGATGGAATGGCTCAGATCAGTCGACCTGGCAGAATACGCACCGAACCTTCGAGGAAGTGGAGTGCATGGTGCCCTGATTGTAAGACTTCTTCACATTTATTTTAACATTTTACTACACATCCACTGAAAACTGACAGACTGTAACATAAAACATGTTTTACCTGGTGTTTGTCCAGCTGGAGGAAATAGCTTTATCTGTGATACAACAGCATGATCAGGCCTTGTGAAGTGCCTATTTGATCCATGAGTCTTAATTTTATAAAGGAAAGCTAAAATAAAAAGGAACTGCTAAAACAAGTTTTATAATGAAAGGTGAGCTGTGCATGAGTGTCTAACAGCAGTACATTAAAAAGCAAACCAACCAAAATGCAAACTGTACCATGGGAAAGTTACTTATTTAATAAAGCATCATCAAGTGTTTCTTGGAGTGGTATTACTAGAATTCTGTGCCACAGTAAATAATGTCCTGAGCTCACAGCAGTCTTGCTGGCAGTCAGGAATGATGGGGTTTAATTCCAAATATTCAGAACTGTTTGCAGCTTAATAAAGTCACACTTCTGAAATACCCTGATTCTAGTGCTGTAGAAATTCTGCAAAAATGAAATAGAAAAATATGTGCTATTTTGTCAGTTTATACTCTTGAGTAGAGCAGAAAATTCTGAAAACTCATGCAATCCAATCAAATATAAGGTTTGCTGATAAATATAAATACGATCAAGTTCTCAGCTCTTAGTGTCCACATTCATGTATTTCCCATTCAAACCCTAGTGAGTATTGTATGAGTTATAAAAGGCCTAATGTAGACAGCTTAGCAATGACAAATTCCTCTGACAAGTACTGTAATGGCTTATTACTGCAAATATTTAACCATGTAAAAATCCCTATTCTGCCAATATTTTAACAGCTTCTGGAACCTCGCTTCAATGGTGACACACTGGCGATGCTGCTGAATATTCCCCCTCAGAAGACTCTGCTGCGGCGCCACCTGACGACCAATTTCAACGTGTTAATTGGACCAGAGGCTCAACAAGAAAAGAGAGAAATAACAGAGTCCACAGCATACACACCTCTGACCACCACTGCCAAAGTCCGGGTATGTCCTGCTTTCAAAAGGGAGGTACTTGGGAATTTCAGACTTCCTCTCTCCTGTCTTGTAGAGAAAATAAGGAACAAATGTGGGCCAGGGAGAGGTCAGCTCTAGAAGGAGTAGTGTTATGTTTTCCTTAATTCTAGATACTGAAGCATTTAATTTATATTTATCTGTTTAAATCAGCTCCTGAAATAATCATGCAATCCCACTGTCTCTTTTTACCTTCCATCTTTTCTTAGAAGGAACACTACCTAAATGTACTTAACATCAACTGTAAATAACTCCGGCTTTGAAACCAAATTGATTTAATTCAGAATCTACATACTTCAAGGACTACAGGGGTATAGCAATAGATAGAAAAAAAAAAAAAAGAGGGTGTTGAATGTTTAAAGGGCAACCTTATTTTTCTTGTTCAAAACTTACTCTGTTGTCTTCTTGTTTTAGCCAAAGAAACTTGGATTTTCACATTTTGGAAATTTAAGGAAAAAGAAATTTGATGAATCAACAGACTACATTTGTCCTATGGATACAAACCCAGGTGCTACAAATGGTTCTCAGAAAAACTATGGTGGCTACAAAGGCCTTAGTCCCATCACTGACAGGGAGCTGGATCAGGTGGGACAGACAGACTGATGCCATTCTCATCTCATCTCATCTCATCCTCTCCATGCATTCCAAAGCTTGCAAATAACCAAATGTTAGCATGTAACAAAGTATTTGCTGCATCCGCATGAACTTTTACTGAGAAAGTACTGGCGGTGGACACTAAAAAGAGTTCTGTCCTAAGAATGTCAGGTTAATTTTTTTAATCAATATCATATAAACTCATCTATCTTCAAGCCCTTTTTCAGGTATATGACACCTTTACACTACGACGATTAATGTATTTTGACAATTAAGGTGGTGGTGGCAGGAAACACACGACTTGTACTTCTAGCTTTCATAATCACAATATGGCACACTATTTTTTTCCTGATCTTTATGGGTGGTTTTTAAATGTAATAAAGTTTTTTGGACTCGTTTGTACAAAGGTATCAAGTTATATATTAAACAACAACTGGACTGTATATTTTTAATGGACATTATTCAAAGAATCCAACTGAATTTTTCTTTCATTATGTACAGCGGGGAGTAGTTTTGCTAGAAGAGGTGTATGTGAAAACAACGCATAGAACAAGACTATTAATAAACCAGTACTGAAATAATTCACTTTTCTTATGTAGTAGTGAACTTGTGCATGAAACTCTCCAGACATCACACAGACTAATGAGAAAGACTAAAACCCATCAAATTTTGTTCAACTTTGCTGTTGTGTAAAGGGATGTAAACCCTGAAAAATGGAGTTCGTGGAGCCTTGTGTGAACTTCATCAACACACAAGAGCCAGACGGGGCAGCTGGGGTGAACTGCCCTATCTCCAGTGGTCCTGACATGAGATAGATAAAAACAATTTAAGACAGATAAGAGAATGGTCACAAAACTGAAAAGACTAACTGTGAAGGTTATTTTTCATCTGCATGGTTTCCTGCATCTAACATCTCATCATTTGTGTTCTTCACCTAACCATTACCTTTATTAATTGAAAGTTTTACCATAGTAAAATGAAGTACTGTTCCTCAGGAGGGCCAGTACCAGATCCTGAATGTAACTGAGCATGGATTTGTGCTTGCACAGTGAAGAGTTTTGCAAGTGACTGCAGTAACTTTGAGCCAAGAGCTTACACTAAGCAGTTGTTCAGGCAGTACCAAAATCCTGGATTTTCCTCTAGGAGCATGGTCTTTCAATAAAGTGGGACTTCTGAGCATGCAGTCATGCAGGGAAAATCTCAGTTCCCTATAAGTGGTAACCTTTTATCCAAGGGGTAGGTGGGACTGCATCATGAAGGACTCTGCTTCTTGCCTGTCAGAGACAACTGCCAGAAATGTAAGAAGTGTTACACCATCAGGAAAACATTATTCTCTATTGACAGTATCAGTTAAGGTTTTTCTTTCCTTCTGCAAATTAAAGCTCAAGTTTCATAAACTCAGTCCATCATCTTGACCAGGATTCACTCTTCCTACAGTTAAATGCGTCTCACATACCTTTTAGCATGGAGGCTTTTTAATGACCGTGCAGAAATCGGAACTTTTAAACGTCCCACAACTTCACTTGTCCAGGCACAGATACCTCCCAAAGATGCACAGAGTGAATAAAATTGCATGTACTGATTTGAACTCATTCCTGAATACTTTTACAGATGGAACATTCAGAAGGAACAGTAACGCAAATAGGGGCTCTTTCTCAAGGCATAAGCCATCTTACGGTATGTACTAATCCATTCTTGTTTTAAAGTAACAAATGTATTCTGCTGGAATTCAGTGCAAGCTGGTCATTGCTGGTGGTAGTTAAGAGTAAGTTAACCTCTTACAGCCTGGTTGCACATTCACAGTCCAAAACCACACTGCTTATTAATTCCACTAGAAATTAAGTTTCCTTTAAGCCTATTTTAAGTTTTCATGGACTCCTCTATCTCTTAACTCAATGACAGATATACATCCCCTTAAATGAAAACAATTCTTCAAAGGATTTTTTTAAGTAACCACCATTGAATGCCTCAGTCACAAAGAGATACAGACTAGGAAATTTACATGAGCTAAAAACTCAATGAAAAACAAAATCCCAACTACCACTAATTCCTGACTTAATTAATTAGCAGCTAATTAAAAGGTTAACTGAAAGGTATAATGAACAATTACATAACATAGCAGAGTAACATGCAACACAAGATCTTTGAGAGAGTCCCCTAAGGCAAACAATAGCTCATTTAAAGCTACATTTAAGAAATTCCTTTTAATTTGATGTGTCTCTAACCCCCTCTGTTGTGAATCTCATCTCACTGCAGCTGGATTTGTTTAACCATAGGCCTCTAAATGAACATGCTTATTCATTCATACCTTGTTTTTTTCAGACGATGTTAAGCCAAGATGAAATGCTGAATGACAGCAGATTTTTAACACCTACCTTTGAAGACTGGAGATGATGTTTCGGTGCGACCAAGAACACTACTAATACCTCACGCCTGTCCAGAGGGGTGGCCAGGAGCAGCTTGATGCTGTCTACAGAAAAGCTTTACCTCTTTTCTGCCAATTACACTTACCACAGAGAATTTAATACTGTCAATGTAGCAATGCGACACAGGTAACTCTCCTCCACACAATCTTCTTTACTGCATAATGTGAAATAAGTGTTGAGAGAGAATACTCACAGCAGACTCTGGAAAGCTGTCTGGCACCACCTTTTTATTCAGTCATCTTTTACATGGTATGTTTACATACTGTATTTGGAAGATCTTTTGTCATTTTTTTATTTTTATAATTGATTTGTAATGCAGGAATCATTAATACTCTGTTGTACCATGTGGACTAATCAGAGCTACCTAGACATTCAGATGGATGCTGGTGAGTACTGCCTCACCAACTAGTACTACAGGCCTGCCAGAGAATGCTTCCCATGAAAGGATTTTAATCTCTCACCCCTTTCATTAGCACATGTCCTGCCCTCTTTTTATCTAAATAAGTAAGTGCAGTGTAGAAAGGGAAGACTAGGACATAATGGCCTTGCTTTTATCAGGATGATGACAAGACAGCATGTTCATAAATCCTGACCTAACTCAAAAAGATGCTGAACAACTCCAGCAGGATATGTGACTTTGAGGCTGCCAGAGAAACTGATGTACTCAAAAGCTGGTGCTTCATTTCACATGATGATTTTTATATGTGCACTGAGCTGGTCACTATCAAGGAGAAATCACAACATCTAATTAATGTAAAATGTAACTTTAAGAAGGGTGTTTGCTGCACTCTGTAGGGTGAGTTCAACAGAATTTCCAGCATGATCTGCTGCCTGGTTTTACATGACAGTTCCTTAATTGGAATGACTGAATGGGCTCCGTCTGTACATTGACGTTTTGTCCCAAATGGCTAGTACTGATGTACGTGTGCAAGCATCAGGATGTTCATGAGCCTTCTGAACAGTCAAAATGGCTCAGACCAGGTTTTTTGAGCCCCATACCTGGTTGAAACCCAGTGCTGGCTCTCAGGAAGACAGGAATGGTAATAAACCTATTTCTTAATTAAATGTATAGCTGCAAACAGTCCTGAGGACTGCAGATTATAGTAGAAACACTTCTGTAATGCTTGCATGACAACTAACAATGTTGTAAATGATAGAACTGAAAGTAAACAGCACTCTTTTCATTCCGGCTACATCTAGATTTTCATAGAATACTTTGTTTAGCAATAGGAGACAAAACGTTATTGCTTTGTGAAGTGTACAATGCCACTAAGGAGCATCAGAGAAGCACCTTAATAAAATAAATATTTGTTTCTTTAAAACAGCTGACAAAAGAGAGTTGTTGCTATTCTACTGAGCTAGGCAGGACTGCAGCAATGTGAAAGAGGAAAACACAGCCTCTCATTACTCACTTGAGGGGCAGTTCACAGGTGAAGGTGTCTCCTTTACAGCAGCAGTTACTTGTGGCATCAGTTGACATGTGCCTCTTATGTATTAATAAGGAATTAAATTGTTATCTTAGTTAACAGGGAAATACCAGAAAAGAAATTGCCTCAATTGTAAAGACCTAGCAAGCATATGGTTGATGTGTGTTACTCTTTCCCCTGCAGGGTGTTGGTTTACATGTTACAGATAAAGGGGAAATCTCTGGTACTGTCCCAGCTATGCAGCAACGGCTCTTCTAGAGCTGTCAGTGGCACTTGTTAAAGGTGACCTATTCTGCTCCTCACTCCCTGAGCCTCTCATGAGAGACTCTGCACTGTACAGATTTTAGAAGCTAAACACAATTTTATTGTCCAAAATGGTAAAACCAAAGCAAATTATTTTTCAATCACTTGAACAATAAAATTATAACGGAAAATTCAAAGGAACGAGAAATCAGTCTACACATCAGCCAACTAAAAATGCTTAATAAAAGGTACTGAATGTACCAGTCCAGTACCTCTCCCATCTGACAATTCAATCACCACTAGTAGCCATGTGCTATGGGCATCTGAAATACTTTGTTGGGTTAATTAGCCACCAGACTTGGTACAGCACGACAAATAAGGTAAGCTGCTCTAACAGAGGCAGCCCTGATGATATATTTGATGATATATTTATAACTCAGTGTGGTGTTCTGCTAACTTGGCTGTAAATAGTCACTCTATAAAGTTATTGGTATTTTTAAAACATGTATCTAAGCAAGAAATCCTAACTAGCATAACACTGGCATAAATGCTTATATTTTTTGACTGTTATGAATAAATGCTGAGTGTACCTCCATCTCTTTCTGACTGTGGCATGATTCTAACAGAAACACACATGTTGTTGATCTCTTACCTGGGACAGAATCAACAGTATGAAACCCTGTGTCTGTCTTTTCATCACTGCTACAGACATAACCGATGAAGTACAAAAAAACCTTTACCTAGTAGATTCCTTTTGTTTTATATGAGTAAAAATATTTAGTAAACATATTCATTAGCCCCTGACATCACAAGTCTTCTGACTCAGAGATCTGGCAGACCTTGAAACAACTGCAGGATAAACTAATTCCTGGAGACGAACATGCAGTACAGTACTTCAGGTGCTGAAGGCTAAGAATTAAACGCTGTGTATGTGGTAAAAACACTAAGATGATTATCTAAGTATAAGATCACCTCAGCATAGCTTACAATAGAAAGTAAGAAACAATGTTTTCTTGTAAGCAAAGGAGATTTCTGAAGCTGCCAGAAGAGCAAGCAGTGCATGTAGGCAATGACATTCAAATGGAACCACAACAGTAGTCATGTCTGCATATGTAGCCCAGAACTTCTCCATGCATTTGACAGTGATTTAGCTAAGGCTGTTAGAAGACAGCATGAAGTTATTTTAATCTTCCCAAATAAATTTCACACTAGTGAGAATTTCTGTTACAATAATAGGCAATTTGCGTGTTGCCCAAAGTCTATTCACTTCTTCAATAACATAGTCTCTGGTATTTCAGTTTGTTAGTCCTGGGAAAGGGTTTAAAGCAGCATGAAAAAAAAACAAAGGGGAGGAAAACAGACTGTTCTTTGTACTGTCCTCCCCAGGATTTCCTAAATTAACTACCTGCAGAGCACAGTCAAACCATGCCAGTCCTGCTTCACAGACCTCTCCCAAATTCCATACCCATGTCAACAAACAAGTGGTTTTATCTCTGTCCTACCTCTCCAATTACTCTTGTTTTGTTCCTCAGTACTAACATTTCATACTAACTTAAGAGGTTAAACTAAGTTACTTCCACACAATTCAAGATGATCTCTCAATTTCTTAAAATATGCGAAGGTAATTGTGAAGTTATAAACCACAGGAATTCTTTTAAGTTGTTAAGAAACACACACAAAAAAAAAACCACTGCAGTTATATACCAGTTGTGCCTGTAGGAAAACACACAGTACTTAGGAAAAAGTATCAGATGACATCAGCGTTAATAAGAAAATGTACTGCTCTTGGGATAGCCAAGTTTGTCCAGGTTGGGCTGACAGGCAAACTGAATCATGGGTGGTGGCCCACATAGGAGAATGAGTGTCTCCTTGCCAGGGGGAGGGAGGTGGCTTTGAATCATCTCTGCAGTGATGAAACCAGAACTGTACTTCCAATCTGAAACAGAGAGATTAAACTTTTAATTTGAATCTCTAAACAGTCTGAAGCCTTCTAAAACTGCCTGTGTTGTACTTGCAAAGTAGCTGTAGAATCAGTGAGGTTAAGCTACTATCACTGTGCAAGCCAAAAGAGGGTTAAATCTCTCACTGAGCTCAAACATAGCGGTCCCCTTCCACAGGAACAAGAAGCATGTGGGTAACAAGGATCTCATTGATAAGACATGGAAGTTCTCAATAAATGATAGATTTAAAAGAAATTAGACAGCAGGTAGGAATAAACAGGAAGAGTAAATTAAATTAGCTTCTCCAGTGAAGAGAGGTCACCTGGGACAGTTGTGCAGGGAGAGAGGTTGAGACCTGTGCCATCCAACACGTGAAAAAATACAAAAATAGAAAAGAGGTCGAGCGATGAGGTGACAAAGTTAGATGATGACAAAAGTCCTCCTGTGTAAAGGGCTAAGAAAAAAGAAGAGGAAAGAAATGCTAAATTATCTTAAGCAGTAATATTACTGAAATTGAATGCATCTGCCATTCAAAGTGAGCCAAGTAGGTAAAATAATCCTGCCGTCACATAAAAAAACTACATGCTTTAAGATCATCAGGAAAAAGATATTGCTGTTATGAAAACAGCAGTAATCAAAAGGCATGTAAAATGTTATGGAGTATCAGGTAAGGGAAAGTAAAAATTGAGTTTGCTTGCATCTTGACTGGCACTGTTCAGTGCTGAGCTGCTCAGCTTAAAAAGGGACACAGCAGAGCTGGAAAAGATTGTCAGAACAAGGATGAGCAAAGGTACATAATCACTGCTGCGTGGGGATACCAGCAGCTGTCAGTGTACAGGAGATGGGGCAGCAGGCGCAACTGATGTTGGTTTTTTGTTGTTGTTGTTGTTTTTTACAGATGTCTGTAAAATTAGTAATGTGAAGACAGTAGATAGGCACCTATTCATATTCTTCCAACACATGAATTAGGAGGCAAATGCAAACCAGAGGATGTCATTCTTCACACAAAAGTGCTAATCCTGTGGAACCACTAATGAACAGACTGCCAAAAAGCTCAGGTGGGCTCCAAATGAGACATGCTAAGTTCTTACAGAAGTAGTCCACTGAGTGTTACTGTAGCTGTAGTTGGCTCAGAACTGAGAAATATGAAAGACTGGAAGAGTATCAAAGCATTTTCTGGCCTTCTACTCATGGCTGTTGCTGACATCAGGCACAGAACTTCAATCTGACTCAGTCTGGCTCTTATGTGTGTTAAATAAAAGCTCAGATCACTTACAACAGCAGCAAACATGACTACCCAAGTGTCTGAAAAGATTCAGTAAATTCAACCTCTCCCTCTATTTCCAATTCATTGCTACACCAGCCTACAGTTAATGCCTTTATCTATACACATGGCAGCTGTTTGTTTTACCAGAATCTAATCTAGAGCTGCTGCAAAACAAAGATGTGCCTGTACTATTTACAGGTATTAAGCAATTTAATGCCTACAAAATGCTAACATAACCTGATTGGAGCAATAGCTCAAAACAGGGCTGTAACTTTTAAAAGTCCCCCAGACTGGCACCTCCCAGAATACATCAAAAGATCCACGGAATAACTCGTCTGACATAAGAGGAGTTAATTTTAGTTCACTTTCTAAGACCCACCTGGTTTAGATCACTATTCAAAAGAGGTGTTATGGTAAGACTCCTTTCTGAGGGGCATCTTTGTCATTTAGAAGTGCAAAACAAGAGGATTTGGTATTATACTAATGACCTCTTGAACACAAGCGAAACGGTGACCAGCAAACACACTTCCAGTGTGTACCAGCAGCTTACCTTGTGGAGGTCTGTCCAGTGTATACCAAAAAGTGAACTGATCAGGATGCCTCTTAGCAATGTCTTCTAGCTCAGCTCTCAGTAATATATCTTTCTCTGTCTGCAAAATGAGACCGCAGTTTAGGTCCAACCCACCTCAAGGTGCCCTCTCAGGTGAGCTCATCTGGCATTCTACAGGACAAAGGCAGTAATAATTCATTCAAACCAAAACCAAGTGGGTTCTCCCCCCCCCCCCATGCACGATAGCTATTATCATTAAAGGCTTCTGTAAATTCAGATTAGGAACAACAACCTATGAGACTTAATAGCCACCTAAACACTGACTTAAAGATGGCAATTTTAACAACTTTTAAATTCAGGGTAAAAAAATCACCATTAGCTGACTTTGTTTCTGAGCCTGGCAAATGTGGCCCTGTGTACCAGCATGGTGATGGTTAACTGCAGAAACAGACTAACCAAACTAAATTTTCCCGTGGAATCAGCAAAGGAGTAAAATGAGTAGAGGGATCAGGATCTGTTCACAGTATTTATTCCCTAATATAGGACTTAGGGAGTACAAGTGAAACTATAAGGAGTGATCTTCAAAACAAATAGAAGATGATCATGCGAACTGTGAGAGCACCATGCAAGTATTTATAAAGGGTCTTATGGATCATTTTTTATTCAGTTTCTCTTTAAATTGCTTTACTCAAAGACATTATATTAAGACCTTAAATATTAACCATCTCCTGCTCCTCCCCATGCTGATCACTTTTAAATGTCCCATCTCAGATAAAATTTTCTCATAAATGGTTGGGTGAAATTCACGAACCCAAGGACACTGGAAGAGTACTAAACATGCAAAGCAGAATTTTCTCCAGGGGTCAATGGCCATCACTTCAGAAAGCTCAGAGGCCAGCAGAGAAGGTAGGCCATTAAAGAAGGACAAACACATGAGTCAGTACACTCGCCTGATTAGCAAAAAGAAGATAACATTTAGTGGAGTCCTTGGGATCACTTGTGATCCGACGAATCAGCTGCAACATCGGAGTTATTCCTGTTAAAAAACAGAGTGGTTAAAAACTGGGTACTTCTTTCTGTAGCTGCAGTTTCAGTATTAAAGCTGCCTTCCATCAGTCTTCAGTGGAAGCTTAATCTGCACAGGGACAAATGCAGAGCTTGGGGGATTCTACTATTACAAATAGTCTAAAAAAACCCACCCAACCAATCCAAGCCCACAGTACTTCTATCTGGGGCTTTCCTCTTCAGCATTCTCTATCACATACAGCCCTTTTGCCTCCAAGATATTCTCCTAAAACATTTTTGGTGATTGAGGCTGATGCTCAGAGAGACAGTGACTTCTCTGAGGACACGCTGTAAATCAAGATTAAAACTCTGAAGTTTCTAGCTCCCAGGACTGAGCTCAAGCCACTGGAAAGCGTCAGAGTTGCTAGGAAAAGAAATACACGTGTAAGTGCTCTGCTGCTGAGGTACCATGTTTGATACTTCTCACACACACCCATAAAGATATTTGCTCTCTAGACATTCCACAGGATGTGAATAGTTTTACCTGTTCCTCCAGCTATCATCCCAAGATGTTTTGCGAACTTCTTCTCTGCTTCAGACTTCTTATGAGGCTTGATAAGAAAGGTACCTAGAAGAAATATTCAAAACCTATAGGTATATTAACTCCAAAACAAACATGGATTGCTATATGCTAGCTATTAGGACAGATCTGGAAATGCTGAATGGACTCACCACAGCAGTGAGCACAAAGAGTTAAAAACCTCTTCGTCCCTAAAAACTCCAGTCTTTGAACAACTGATCTACTCCTTCCCTGCTGTACAACACCATTCATAATAAACTCCAGGATTCCCACATAGAATCATAGGATGGTTTGGGTTGGAAAGGACCTTAAGATCATCTAGTTCCAAACCCGCTGCCATGGGCAGGGACGCCTCACCCTAGACCATGTCACCCAAAGCCCTGGCCAGCCTGGCCTTGAACACTGCCAGGGATGGAGCATTCACCACCTCTGTGGGTAACCACCCTCACAGGAAAGAACTTCTTCCTTATACCTAACCCAAACTTCCCCTGTTTAAGTTCAAACCTGTTACCCCTTGTCCTATTGCTACAGTCCCTGAAGAAGAGTCCCACACCATGCCTAGAACACAACTTGGCATCTGTGAACGTTGGTGGTAGCTAAAGGTAACCACAACCCCTACGACAGAGAAAAAGGTTTAAGACATCTTCATCCTCACTTGCACCATGGATTTCACCATTTGCATGTGTACACTCTCAATGGAGTTGTAATTAAATCAGCATCAAGCAGGAACCCCTGCAAAGATTAGTATTTCATTACTGTAATTCACTTCTAGTCACTGAGATCCCCCATGACACCCGTAGTAAGCTGGGTGACTCCTGCTATCCTGTGAAGAGACCACCTTGGCCATTGCTGCTCTACACCTGGGTACACCATTGCTACCATAGAATTGTGATTGAATTAATCTCCAAGGACCAAGCCAAATGAAAAGCCCATCAAAAGCATTTTATACAAAAAGCACTTGACATATTCCAGTCTTAAGAGATAAGTAACTAGTAACAAGCTTCCCTAGCTACTACTTTTTATAGCAGCCAAAGCAGAGCAGAAAGGAATGTTTGCAAAACATGCATCGCTTGTTTCCTGAGGTGTAACAGATTCATTAGTATATTACTCATCATGAAAGGTCACGATCCAGAGAAGTACTGAGCACTTACATCCCCCTGAAGTAAGAGTTAAGTGAACAGTCCCTTTCAGCCAGCATCAGTGCAAAATCTTTCACTTGCATCGTGAAAGAGGATTACTTCTCTGAACTCATTTCCTCACAGTCAACAGGTTTAATCGTGAGATGGAGCTGGCTCTCAGTCAGCAGGTTATTCAGTTACAACACTGGGAGTCTCAGTGGGCATTTTAGGCCACAGCCTCCCTTAGTTAAGAAGCATCTGGAACATCTCCCTCCATATGTATAGCTGAGGTATTATTTCCAGTGCAGCCTTCTCAGTAGTACAATGCAATAGTGATTTCTCGACATGATATGGTCCCAGGAGTGAGACCAGCTACTCCTCACACAAAGTAAACACAAAGTACTCCTTTCCATCATATGAACTCTGATGGGCTCTTGATCAAGACCAGGAAAGGTGGATTTTCTCTTTTACACTTTTTTAAAAAGAAGGTTTGCTACAAAGTCATCAAGTTTTATAAAACTAAAAATAACCAGCACAAAATCCTCCCGTTTGCTTTCCCACCTTCATGTCACACTACCTGCCCCCTTATAGACAAGGAGCCCATTTGGCCCTCTGAAATCAATAATATCTCCAATCTTCATGTCATTGAGGTACTGGGACATCTTTCCACCTTCTGGAAACTTGGGATGCACATTTTTGTGGTAGACCTGTAAAAGCAATAACTTGCATGATATCACCCACTACCTTTCATGCAGACAGTATTACAAGACTGTAGAACACAGTATTGCAGGTCTGAAATTGAGCATCTGAGAAAGAAACTGAGTTCTTTGCTCCCAGTTACCTGTTGTGCCTTGCAACAGGAAGCAGCCAAAATAAGTGAAATGCTCTGTCAGACACATGTCCCCATGCTCTCTACTAACAGCCAGGCTAATAGGAACAGTGGCAGCCAGATTATGTACTGGTGCCCTCACTTCACTACTGCTCCAGCAAGAACCTCATGTTACTCCATTTTTGTAATCACTCCTGAAAACAGCAGCATTGCTGCATCTTCTCAAGCCTTTCCCAGAGACCTGAGCCACGTTGTAAGTTTTTCATGTTTCAAAGCACATAGTAAGTATTACGTAGTTAGTAACAATTCACCATACTTGAAGAACAGAGCACACAAAATAGCCCAGATTTTTGCCTAAGGACAAACTCTATCATAGAAAAGAATTAGAGAATCCAGAAGTCCTGGGATCAAATCATCCTGCACTCCCCAGCTTACATGATTTCCCTTTCTTCTGTATCCTATTTTCTTAATCAATAAACACATTAGCAACAACTTCTGACACTTACAGAAATATAATTACGATCTCTCTAGCATCGCCAAAAATTACAGTTCTTATTGATTTGTTTTCTACTTCCAGCTATTAGCAGTTAGTAGCAGCATACGCATCTCAAGGGAGAGCGATTTGTATTCATGCATTATCAGTTAAAAGTTAAGTAGGGAGGTTCCTGCAGAACTGCCAAGGAAGTGATTCCCTTCTCCATCTACCCTACCTCTGCTGTCTCTCAGTGACATACAGCAGATACACAGGATACAACTCACTAGTCAAGGATAATGTGAAATGAGTTGTCTGCCATGCAGTCACGCTATTGGAAAGACAATCAATCAAAATAAACTCTATACTTTCCTGAAATGAAGTCATTCAAGCTAGCAATTTATCTAAATTAAAGGAAATCAAAATTTACCTTTATAATTAAATCAACATAACCTTTTGTCTCATCACTGGAAACTGGGGTATAGGCTCGAATCACCAGATTCCCATCAATTCTTGCAGAAAGGTAAACATGTTGGCCTGGGGAGAAAGAATTACAATCTCATTATTTATTTTTTCACCCCTGGAAGAAAAGATGGGAGAGAAAAGCAGGTACTGTAAACCATTAAACACAAGCAATGATGGAGAAAGCCTGTACCAAATAAATGCCGTATAAAACATTTAGTCTATTTTTGCAGCAAAAGTTTCTGGAGCACAGGGTAACTGAGGACAGCTGCTATGTTACAAAGATAAGCCACAAGAAAAGTAGGAAACTTATTATAAAACAGTGATATAGAAAGTTTGTTGCTCATTCTCAAGTGCCCTGTATTTTGGGTTCTGCTGTTCTCACATCTATCAGTGAAGTGCAAGTAAGGGTATACCAGCTCACAAAGGAGTAAGTATTACGGTTTAACAGCAACAGCCTCTCAGGACAAACTTCCCAGAGATTCTGCACCAAGACATCAAGAACAAAGCCTTGGGTCATGCTCCTGCTCGGTAACTCCTACGTCCGTAATGCTGCAGCTGCCACAGCACTGGACACTGCTGTCCACGGACAGCTTTTTGTGCAACCTAATGCTCCAAAACGCAGACTCTAAAAGGCACCCTTTTAACCTGCTGATTAAAAGAACTGAAACTCCTTGGCAAGAGTAATCTCCTCAGCCAGACAGCACTGATCTACATTGCTGCATGGAAAAACAAAAGCAGGAACAGTGCTGGCAGAAAACACTTCAACTTCTAGCCAAATGATCCTGGTAAAAAAGCAGAAGGCAGGAATCTCCCAGAAAGTAATCTGGCACATACAGTTTCAGGATCTTAATCCTGAATTTTTAAGAATACAGTCTGGATAAACACAAGCGCCTGGGGGCACTTCTCAATTCATTTATCACTTGTCTAGTTAGTCCAGACAGTTCAATTACACTTTCCCATACAAGCCAGATAAGAACCTGGAGAAAGACTGCTGCCCTTGACAGGCAGGATGCAACAGAAGGCTGTGCTTGCAGCACGGCATGGACAAACCCTGACACCTGCCACAGAGCACGGGGAACTGTGAAAACATAGTACAAAACAAACAGGGCAACATCTGCAGATCAGAAAGGGAGACTTTCCCCGCACAGACCGCCATGAATTCAAGGTCCAAGGTTTAATGCCATCAGTTCTGCCGGGTACGGGAAAGAAGACTGACAATCCTAGTCTGAAATGAACTTCTTGCTACAGAAAGCAAGAGGAAGCTAGACGCATATGTATGTAAACCAAAGGTAAGCGCATGAACGGAAAAGCTTCCGAGTATTTCAGCATCTTCTATGTAGAGTAGTTGTATTTTCCCCTTTGCTCTGCACAGAATAGTTACAAGCTTCCAGGCAGAGTTGCTCTCATTCTCATTTACAAGTGCAACTGTATTTGCCAAAAGCCTGAGGGCAGTCACCAATAAAGTGAGGGTACTAGATGGAAGTAGAATGCGAATAAGAAATAAGAAAAAACTTTGACAGATACCATTCTTGCTTATATCCTCACTGGTGATGAACTCCATCACACCCAGTTCAGTTTCACTGCTCTTGTTCTAAACTACACCACACAATTTCACACAAGCACACAAAAGATCAGAAACACAACCCCTTGGGAAATCTGGCATTTCTCTCTGACACAGCAGCATTCAGATGCAGCTTTTAACTCCTTGCTTTGCTGAGCCTTAATTTTCCAAACAGTCAGAACTCCCAGTACAATTATAACTCCTAAACCCAAAAAATATATGTAATGATGTGGTTTCAGTGCTTACCTACAGGTAATCCTAATTTATGATCTGGAGAAGGCAGCCCAAATCGGAATTTCTTAGTATCATGACTAATTTCCTAAAAAAAAAAAAAACAAAGCAAATGAAATCGGAGTGAGGTCAACATCACCACTGCTTTGAATTTCAAACTCTACTCAACACAATGCACTTCAGTAAGCCTGTTCCTGGCTAGCACACAAGCCAAATGCTAGGAATGGAAGCAGAAATGGCTTTGGAAAATCAAGTTTAAATAGATCAGAAGTTTCTAAGTGGTCTTTTCCTCTTTAATTCCACAAGGAGCGTCTTCCTGTCTTCGCAATCCCTACAGAGCCTTTACATAAAGAGAATCTGGAAACTCTCCATCGCCCAAGGCCAATGAGCACATTTCATCATCTGTGGCCAAAGATCAGGCAAGTCACTACGCGCCTCAACACTGGCTGTCAGGGTTACCTCTTGCTGATGAGTCACGCTGGGCAGAAATTAAGGGAGAAACGCAGCTCCAAAGTAGGACTTACATACACAAAGACATTGAGCCTACCCTCCTCTTGGAACAAGTGTAACACGGCAGCGTTGGCACCAACGCTTTCCAGGATCCTGCTCTGCCCACAAGAACCACTGCAGTGCAGAGGGGCAGCGCAAGACATACCGCCCCTCACACCCTCCGGCTGAGGCGCCAACCTCCCATCACACTGCCCCGAGCCCACGGACCGAGCGCCCCCCCAGACCGACGGACAGGGAAGGGACCCAGCAGGACCCCCTACGGCTGGGCCCCAGGGAGGGGGCTCAGGCATTCGCCCGCTCCGGTCACCTCCTTCTCCACCAGCCGCAGAGGGTATTTAGCGAGCGGGTCCTGCAGGGTGACGAGGCCGCCGTCCCTCCGCCGCGTGTTTCTGAGCAGCAGCAGCAGCAGGGCGGATGCAGCTACCACGGCCACGGCGATAGCCACAGGGGCACCCTGTAAGGAGAAGGGCAGGCGGTGAAGGGCGCAGCCCGGCCCCCGGCCCCGGGCCGCATGCCTCCCGGCCCCTTACCGCCAGCGCCTCCATGGCAGCTCCCGGCGAGCACGCACCTCGCCACCTGCGTCCTCTACCCGCCCCGCCCACCGAGCTTAGCCACAGCGCCGGTAGCTACAGCGCCCCCCAGCGGGGCAGGGCGGGGATGGGACCGGGACCGGGACCGGGACCTCAGCACTGGATAGGCGAGGCCGGATCGAAACCGCGCTCCTCCCACAGCCCGCGCTGGGACGGGTTTCCCCGGTCTGGATTCCCGTTTGAAGTGTGTTTTGTAAAGCTAAAGCCCGTTTAGAGGTATCAGTGGAGTATCCCGCACGCAGACCTTGCTGACGGGAAGGGCCGCGGGCTCCTCCTAGACAGCATGTGCTGGTTCGCAGGGTGGAAGCACGCACCTCCATGGGCCATCACAAGCGACCAGCCCACCGTGCACAAAACAGCAACACAATCTGTTACCCTGAGGGGACACTCACTGGCTGCAGCCCTTGTTCCTCCTGCGCATTTCCCTACCTCAGTTCTCATTGCCTTCATGTTCAGCAACATAAAACGGTGATGCAAGAATTCTAGTCCTGTGCCAGGTGGCCACAGCGTGTCCTGTAAAACAGCAAAGTTCAAGTCCTACAGGCAGAAATAGACTGCAACGTTACAATCTAACAATACAAGGTTCACAGGGGAAGAGGGCATCGCTCCTTTTCATCGTCCCTCAAGCCTGCAAAAGGTACAATCCTAACAGAAGGCCATTAAGGCTGCACCAGTATTACAGGTAAAGACTGCATTACTGCGCCAGTATACCCAGCAAGGTGCACTGCTGGCCTGCTGGGTTTTGCAACTGTGACTTTCTCTTACTTTGTGACAAGCAGGGATGTATGGATGATAACTTCCTCCTCCAACCAGGAGAGGAGCGCTGCTGGATCTCATCCTCACTAACAAGGAGGGTCTGGTCGAAGCAGTAAGGGTTGAGGGCTGCCTTGGTTGCAGCGACCACGAGATGGTGGAGTTCAGGATCTTGTGTGGTAGGACCAGTAGAATAGCAAGTAGAATTGCAACCCTGGACTTTAGCAGGGCAAACTTTGGCCTTTTCAAGCAATTGCTAGGGGAAATCCCATGGGCAAGGCTGCTTGAAGGTAAAGGGGCCCAAGATAGTTGGTTGACATTCAGGGATTGCTTTTTCCATGCTCAAGATTGGAGCATCCCGACACGTAGGAAGTCAAGGAAGAGGGCCAAGAGACCTGCGTGGCTAAATAGGGAATTGCTGGGTATGCTCAAGTGGAAGAGGAGAGTTTACAGGTCATGGAAGGAGGGGCTGGCCACTTGGGAGGAATATAAGGCTGCTGCTAGAGGATGTAGGAAGGCAGCTAGGAGGACTAAGGCATCCTTAGAATTAAACCTGGCGAGAAGGGTCAAGGACAGCAAAAAGAGCTTTTTCAAATACACGGCAGACAAAACTGACACCAGAGGCAATGTAGGCCCACTGATGAACGGGATGGGTGCCCTGGTGACAGAAGATACAGAGATGGCAGCGTTACTGAATGCCTTCTTTGTCTCTGTCTACTCTGCTGCAGGCAGTCCCGAAGAGCCCTGTACCCCTGAGACCTTAGATGAAGTCAGGCCGACGGAGCGGTTTGCCTTAGTCGATGAGGAATGGGTTAGAGATCAGTTGAGCAACCTGGACATCCATAAATCCATGGGTCCAGATGGGATGCACCCGTGGGTGCTGAGGGAAGTGGCGGAAGTCATCGCTAGACCGCTGTGCTGCCATCCAGCGAGACCTGGACAGGCTGGAGAGTTGGGCAGGGAATAACTTGATGAACTATAACAAGGGAAAGTGTAGAGTCCTGCATCTGGGCAGGAACAACCCCAGGTTCCAGTATAGGTTGGGAAACGACCTGTTAGAGAGCAGTGTAGGGGAGAGGGACCTGGGGGTCCTAGTGGACGACAGGATGACCACGAGCCAACACTGTGCCCTTGTGGCTAAGAAGGCCAATGGCATCCTGGGGTGTATTAGAAGGGGGGTGGTTAGTAGGTCGAGAGAGGTCCTCCTTCCCCTCTACTCTGCCCTGGTGAGACCCCATCTGGAATATTGTGTCCAGTTCTGGGCCCCTCAGTTCAAGAAGGACAGGGAGCTGCTGGAGAGAGTCCAGCGCAGGGCAACAGAGATGATTAAGGGAGTGGAGCATCTCCCTTATGAGGAAAGACTGAGGGAGCTGGGTCTCTATAGTTTGGAGAAGAGGAGACTGAGGGGTGACATTATTCGTGTCTATAAATATATAAAGGGGGAGTGTCACGAGGATGGAGCCAGGCTCTACTCAGTGGCAAACAATGATAGGACAAGGGTAATGGGTACAAACTGGAACACAAGAGGGTCCACTTAAACTTGAGAAGAAACTTCTTCTCAGTGAGGGTGACGGAACACTGGAACAGGCTGCCCAGGGAGGTTGTGGAGTCTCCTTCCCTGGAGACATTCAAAACCCGCCTGGACACATTCCTGTGTAACATTATCTAGGTGTTCCTGCTCCGGCAGGGGGATTGGACTAGATGATCTTCCGAGGTCACTTCCAATCTCTAGCATACTGTGATACTGTGATACTGTGAAGCAGCACTAACAAAGTATTTAGTATCTATAGGCTTCAAATGGCTTTCAAACAAACAAAAAAAAAACACAAAAGAGACTAAGTATCATTATTACCCTCTACAGAGGGTAGGACAGGATGACACAGTTTGGGACAGCCACAAAGTCAATTAAAAGAAAACACACATCTTTGAAGTCCAAGCCTGTGCCACAAGGGTCAAAGTAGTTCATCTAAAACAGGAGCATGCCCATATCACACAGATGTCTTTTTCAGGAGGAAGAAAACAAAATGATGAAACCTATGGGGAAGGAAGGAATGCCAGAAATCACGTCACAGTCCACCAAGCTGTGGATGGTTAAACAAGGAGAAGACAATAGATCTGTTTTACTAGGTTTTGGAATGCTTGTCATTTATCTGACTTGCAAAAAGACTGAAAGAAAGACATTCAGCTACTGAAGTACTGACTCTGGAAGACCAGAGAATTAATACCTTCACCAGACTTTTTTAATTCTTTGTTAATACTAGCTTTCCACACCTGAGTTCAAAAGCAGGGCAACCACTACCAAAACGCTACATATTACTACTCTGTTCCTGAAACAGATTAACTCCTTTACCAGTGTCACACACAGCCACCATCCTGCAACCATACTGTAACTGAGCCCAGGCCCTTCAGGCTGAATGACCCATTCTCTACTATTAAAGAAGCAGCCAGATTCTCCCCCCATAGTTGCTGCAACTTCTTATTTTCTGGCAACACCGTACAGCTAGGATTTTTTTATGTATTTTGCTTTCAGTGATCTACCATATATCCATGTGTCAAAAGGCTTTAAACTCAAGCAGAATAAGGCAGAATAAAAACACCAAATAAGAAACATTCATATTGCTCAGCCAGAATTTATCCTGAAGGATAAATAGGAACAAGTGAAGGATAAATAGTAAATTTATCCTATTTTTTTTAATTTTCAAGACAGGACTTTGTCTACTATATGTGCACAGCTATGCAATTACCAGTAGTTCTCTGCACTACTGATGGGAGCATTCATCTTCTCTCAAGAACAAGACTCTTTTTTGCTTTCAGTGAGACAAAAGCAAGAGAGATTCTGTAGAGCTTGAGAAACCAAGCCTCATTCTTTCCTCTTATAAACTTGTCTTACACAGACATAACATCCACAGCTCCTCTGTTGTTACTGTTAAATTTACTCCTTGAAACGCAAAGAACCAAGTCTAGTCACTTCAGATGAAGAAATAACTCCTTTTGTGCATCCAATACATGCCAATAAATGGATTTTTAAATGAGATAAAAACTGCCCTTGTGCCACTTGTCCTCAGAAAGCACAAAGGAAAAAAGACTGGGAAAAAGAGAAGAAAACAGGGAAGATCATGAGAATGTAGTTCTGCACTACCACTTAAATATATGACTGTCATATGTTTTTGGGCAGACCCACTGTGGAAGAAAGGAGGGCCAGGAAATGCATACCTTCAGACAGAGTACAGCTAAGGATGTCATCTGGCTGTGTCTAATGGGGATGTCACAGGAGCACAAGCAACCAGGAACAGAATGATGAAGCAAGTCACTCTGCTGGCCCTGGGCTGGAAAAGGAAGTGGCAAAGAAAAAGAATTATGAACCAAGAATTCACAGGGGTCATGTCATAGAGTCAGAGATCAGTAACGTTCTTAACATCTTTTGTATCTATATAGCTAGAACCCAGGTTTCAGTCAATTGCTTCCTCTTCTGTACTATTGCCAGACAAGCTTTAACAATGGACATATACTTCCTGTTTTCTGAAGAAGACCAACAAAGGTTACAAACACACTTTAATAACCACTTCTGAAAAGACTGCCTTGGCACATCACCAGCAGTGTAGCTGGCACACATGTGCTGTGCCCCCCCCCCAGCAGGACTACAGTTCAGAGCTAACCAGGAAGATTTATGGTCACAGATACTCCTGTTAACCAAAGGTCAGAACAAGGTATTTCTGGTCACAGACTTTTATTCTAAATGTTTTGCACAGTACTAATAAACAATGCGATGAGTCTTCACTCGCTTTCATATAACATTACAAGGCCATTTTTACTTACATGCCAAGAGAAGAAGGATTATATGCAGGTCTTAAGCACCAGGGAACCCAAGCCTACCTCAGTACTCAGGTAGGCTACCAGAATCCTACCTTTTGACTGTAGGGTTCAGGAAAGTCTCATATAACTGTCAAGAATTAAAGTGGGCTTTTAATAAATTTTATAAAAACTAAAAAACAATTCCATTACATGAACTCTATTGAAAGTATTTTTTTATTTTTTAAAAATCAAAATTCATTTACACCACAAACCAGTTCACAATATTGCTAAAAGATACTGACAGCTTACAATAGACTAAAAAGATACAACAAACAAAGACAAAACTAAACTATTTGTAAAACCATACTAGGGCAAACACAAAAGGTCTGTATCATACAGTCAAACAAAAAGTACCCTAACAATCAATTCAAAGACAAACAATTTAAGACAGCACTTCAAATACACGAAAGCAGTTTTTTT